ATGCAATCCACGCCCTCATCAACTTCTCCACGAGAAACTAGACGTGAAATCAAATTTCCGGTGCGCTTAATTTCCCTTGAAACACGAATTCGTCACAAGATAACAACCTTTTTGAAAAATCCCTCACAAGTTGACCACACGCTTGTAGCGAGAAAAATCTTCGAATTTCTCACGAGGATCCGTGAGAAAATCACTGCAATGGAAAATAAAATTCTCGAGCTTCTTCATCTGAAGAAGCATAATTACTTTCTTGTTTCCCCATACCTCGAAGGAATGCGAGATAATGACTCCTTTAATGAGGGCTGAATAATTCACGAATGACCCTTGAAAAAAAATTCGGACCAAAAAATCAGCGAAAAAAATTCCTGCGTCCGACTCATGTCGTTATTTTAAAAATGTATTCCCAAAAAAGCATGGAGTCTTAAACATGGAAAAATTAGGGTCATCTTTTCCAACTGGAAACGGGTCAATTATCCGTCAGTCAAACCCCATGTTTCTCGCGCTGAAAAACCGCGGCAAGATGTTACCATACCAAAAACAAAAAAGAGAAATCCAACAGATTTTCCACCCAATCTCTCAATGACCATGGATCACGGCCAATTAATCATCCCCTTCACTTCCGGACAGCTACGTAATTATTTCCCGCACATCGAGGCGTGCAATGTCTTTAAATTCAGCTCTGCCTGATGTTGCGGAGGCATTTTCAGAAACCCCTCAATTAAAAGACCTGTTCCCTCTAGAACCTGACTCATGTTACTCTAGCAACAGTTGGATGAAATGCAACTTTAAGGCTATTGTCATCCTCTCGTAATCAGAATTTTCCGCGACAGCTAAAAAAAAAACAAAACTTTTGCAAGGTTAGAAATTAAAACTCGGTTAGGAAATACTCGGGTTATCAGCAAAAAAAAAAATTGTAATTTAAACAGTTCGACTGAATGGGACAATCGACGAATTGTAAGGTTGTTCTATTTTTCAATATATTTTCTTTACTGGAAATGGTAAAAAAAATACACAATTAAATACAATAATTATTCTCCTCACACAAGTTTTGTCAATTCTCTATTCGGAGTCTCGGGGTGGATGAATGAATATTTTTAGGGCAATATTTTATAATTTGCAGACAAGTCTTCAACGTTTTCTCAACGTAGTTGAAATAAAAATAAGAGATACAATTGAAAATACACTTCATCGTTGTGATAAAATAGGATTTTCGAGCCTTTTTTTTTGAATTTCATGAATTCCCAAAATATTTTGACAAATTCATAATTTTCCCAGATTTGACTGCGCTGTTCTGAAAATTTTTAATCTAGGTAATTTTTGTGCGATTAATGCTGAATGCGGAAAATCGAGTAAATTTCAAGCAAATAAAAGAGTCTCTCTATTTTATTTCAATTGAAGATTCAATTCAGAAAATCCTAAATATTCCCTGTGAAGAAATTCCAATACTGCAGGAATTTGCCATTTTTAAAAATGGAAAGCATCAGTTGTTGAAACGTGATGGAAACCGACAAGTCGTCAACAGGAAGGAAAATAAATTCCCTTCCAGTTGCTCAAATTACTAGCCCACATTTCCTAATTAACAGGGGCCACCAAATCTGAGAGGGCCATTTTGGATGAATGAGGATAGCCTCGGATTTTTCTTGGATGATTTTGGCGATAACCCTGTGTAGGATACAAAAAGGAGGGAAAAAATAACCTTTAGAAGAACCCCAAAAGGAGTTAAAGGCATCGATATGGGAGGCTAAGGGGTCAAAAAATCGAGAGGCAAAAATATGTGTTTGAGCATTCAAAGAATTGGCAAACCAATCTATAGAGGGAACAAAATCCCATTTTGAGCAAATACTGTGAAATATTGTTGGTTTCAGCTGCCATTCTGCATCCAGATTGAGAGCCTCAGATGGGGAAAGAGTTCTCAAAAGGATATCTGCAGGATTATCTCTAGAAGGAATATAAATTGCAAAGGCTGTAGCCTGATGAGATTTGAGGAAATTCCAGAGATTTCTGGCTTCTGAGTTGAGAGATTTGATTTTTCCCCCAAAGTTGTTGATATAGCTGATTGCTACAGTATTGTCAACCCGGAATCTGATATTGGCGTTTTTCCATGAAAAGGGGAAAGTCTGAAGGGCAAGGCGGACAGCTCTTAATTCCAGGAGTTCGATACGAGCTTCTGTAGAATTTTTCCAAACGCCTGCTATTTTCGAGGAACCACAAATTGCGCCCCACCCTCCAGATGTAGAGGCGTCTGTGGTAATTGTGTGTGTGATGGAAAGATTTGCAAAAGAATTTCTAAGAGGAGGACGCAAGGTTGACCACCAATCAAGATCATCTAGAATAGATTGCGGAAGAAAAAGAGGGTCCTCCCAAGAAATACCACTTTTAAGGGCATTTTGTTTTGCTTCTTCGAAAAGCCTGAAGTGACCTCGAGAATATGGAATAGCGGGAGTACAGCTCAGTAGAAAACCTAGAATTTTCGCGAATTTTCGCAGTATAAGAGGAATTTTGTTTTGGAAATGACTACGCAGGAATTGAATATCGGCTTTAAGCCGTTTCCACTTTTCATCTGGGAGTTCAAGAGACATTAAATTTGAATCCACGATGAAACCCAGGAATTTTATTCTCTGGGAAGGAGTGAAAACAGACTTTTTGTCGTGGATTAAGAAACCAGCAAGTTTGAAGAAGTTACAAACTTCTGAAGTTTGAATCTTTGCTTGGGAAAAGGATGGAGCAGAAATAAGAGTATCATCAATATAAGAAAAGACTTTGAAGCCCTTTGATCTCAAAGGAGTCAATACAGCTTTCATGATAACTGTAAAAATTCTGGGGGCTTCCCGAAGGCCCATAGGAAGGCAGACGAAACGGTAAAATTTGTCATGCCAAGAGAACATAAAACATTTTTGATGATCTGGGTGGAGAGGAACATGATGGAAGCCTTTAATGAGATCAAGAGAGGACATCCAATCTCCCTGTTCAATACAGCAAAGAACTGATTTAAGGGTTTCCATTTTGAAATGGATTTTTCTTACACAGGCTTCATTGACTCTTTTACTATTCAAAATGAGCCTGGAAGAATTACGACTCGTTACTGCAAAAATGGGATTAAGGACTGCATTGGGGGGAAGTCTGCATTGGACTACAGCACCAATTTTAACTAATTCAGCAACTGAATTAGAAATAGCCAAAGAATCTTCTTGAGATCTGAGTCTGGCATTTGAAGAAGAAAGGTCTGAAGTGGGAGAGGAGAAAAAATCCACCTTAGCTCCCAGGACCAATTTCAAAATCCATGGGTTTTGGGTAATGTTTTCCCTCCAGAAAGGCAAAAAATGTCTTAAACGTCCTCCAAGTGGCCAACTAACCTGAGAGTTGGAAGGTGTTTTGAGAGAGGACAGCCTGATCAGGTTCGACGGCTGTATCTCCGGGGGGTGTTCTGGCTGCCCCGAGATTCCCGGTTCTGTTCTTGATACCGATTGGTCTTGAAACGGCTGTCCCCTAAAAAAGACGGTTGACCTGGTCTGGAAACTTGGTCATTTCTGGGACGAAAACCGCTATTGCTGGGGGTATTGGATCTTCCCCTGTAGGAACTGGTTGCACCTCGGCCTCTGAAGGAATTTTGACCCCCCCTGGGTTGGTATTGATTAAGGCCTTTAGCTGCCTTAACCGCCGATCTCAGGGTTGCTTCCTGGATAGTGGCACTTGCAACAGTATCCAGCAAGGCCTTATCAGAGAGGTTGACAAGCTGTTCACCATGAATTTGGCAGGTAAATTGCCCAGCTTTTAAGGACGTTGCTAGAGGAGGGTGTTGAATTCGAAGGCCTTGAGCTATAGATTTGCGTTGTTGATCTGCAACCAGGAGGTAGGCAGAAGCATTGAATTTCATTGCAGCTGAGACCTTTTTGCGAAGGTCTGGAATAGATTTCACGTCATCCAGAAGATCAACTAATGATCTACGTGTGACGGAGATGGACCTTTGCATTTTTTGAAAATTTGCGTCCAGTTGTTGGTGAGTGACAGGCAGATTTTTAAAAATCGGCGCATTAGTGCGAGGAACTACCCCAACTGATGTGTTAGTAGGTTATGTGTGACGGAGATGGACCTTTGCATTTTTTGAAAATTTGCGTCCAGTTGTTGGTGAGTGACAGGCAGATTTTTAAAAATCGGCGCATTAGTGCGAGGAACTACCCCAACTGATGTGTTAGTAGGTTGAGGGTATGTCTTTTCACTTTCTTCCAGAAAGGTTGGTAGAAGAGCTGATGAAAGAAATGGTTCTCGTTTTTTCTCAAGGACCACTGCTGCGTGTGAAAGCGTTTCCCATCCAGGTTCCCTAAAACCGTTCTCAAGTTGAAGCTCGAGACGTTTAAGCGATAACAGCCTACCACAAAGTAGGTTTGCAACTCGCTTAGGTGGTGGTTCCAAAGCTATAAGCAGAGGAGAAAAACCCACAGGGTTTTAAATACGATATACCTTAAAAGGTAATAGGCTTCGCTGATATAAATCAGGAGCATGGGGACAAGGCATTCACTGACCTTTCCCAATAAAAGCCAACGGATGGAGAACCACTGGGCAGATGAGAGCAAGATAATTGAATCTGCTCAAATTTGAACATAAAGTCACTTTTCACATAGGGGAGGGAAGTGACTTACTTATGTGTTCCTCGTCTGTTGGAAGGTCGATTGGGAAACCAGAGGCGATGTTGCGAATCTCGCTATCTCTTCCACTATTGACATCTCCCACCTCTTCATGTGAGATGGGAGAAGGTGGTTGATCATCATCATCCAAGAATAACATGATGATTTGTTTTGAACACTCGTCAAGAGAGAATATATATCACTCCTGTGCAAAGAGAGAAGTGATAGAAAAATAAATATATATACACTAGTGTGAAGAATGATGAGAAGGATACATCATGTACACGAAGTATCCTATCCCACACTTTTTTTTTTTGGCAGAATCCCTGGGACCACGCGCAAAAAAGAGGGAACACCGTATCGGCGTGCCGGTTGCCCATGATCACAGGAAAACGCCGGTTAAGAGAAATGCCGAGGAAGAAAGAAGGGGTACGAGGGGGCTCGGACCTTCTTCCCCGGTTGATGAAGAAAGACTGAGGCACATCCTCCTTTGGAGGATAGATGAAGTCAGGCCGCATTCACGGAAAGAGAACCTTGAGCGTTTACTAACAACATATACAGTAAAAATGGACATTCTACCTTGAAAAATTTAAGAAGTACAGTCAAAAATTAGGGACACACTCATGAAGGGGCAAACATAAATCCACAAACAATTCAGATAAAAATGGGGCTTAGAAATACAGATCGGAAATTTCTAGAATTTAAAAAAAGAAGGGAAGCAAATTGCAGCAAAATCTGAGGGGTTTAGCCATGCATTAGGTGGGCAATTGTAGCAAAACAGGGGAACCACTCCACTCACTTGGGATAAATATCACCACTGAAGGAGGGCAACAAGATTATGAAAAATGTTGGAATTGCCGGTTGAAGTGAACGCCCCAAAGTGATCAGAAGAACTCTGACTTCCGTTGCAAGATGTGCTAGGTTTATATACTACTTCAGTGGAAAATCCCCGAGAGGCACTTTCAGGATGTTATGAAAATGTCAAGAATTTTCATTTTTAAAATTGGGGAATTCCATTTTCAAGGTTATTTGGAAATTTCCACTTCGTGCTTAATAGGGATTTATAGACTATATTAGACAGGATCATGACTCATGCAATACACGAAGAAGAAAAGGCACTACAGTAGACACCAGAAAAAAATTCGTTGTAGAAATAATTTTGTTGTAGAAAACCTCTATAATATGGGAAGAGAACCCTATGGGGCTGGGAAAAAAATCGTTGTACGTAGAGTATCGTTGTAGACAAGATCGTTGTAAATAAGTAAGTCCACCTGTATTTTCAGGCGATGATGGGCTCCAATTAATATGGTTATTTTTCCAATGACTGTCCGGGATGATATACTACGGTATTTATGTACAGTAATAATTAAGGATTATCTTGGCTTAAAAAGTGATTAAATAAACTTTAATGACCAGAAATCAGAAGGCATCATTGTTTGCTAAAATCGATTCACTTTTTCCCCCACTTCAATCCCGATTGATTCTGCTGTTGATCCCCTGTGGTTTTTCTTTTTTTTTATTTCATCCGCAGGTCGTGGTTGTGTGGAACGACAAAATCGACGACAGCAATAAGGAACTGCGATGGCCAGATATCGGAGTCCCGATTGAGGTCGTAGTAGCAGACCGCAACAGCCTCAACAACCGATTCGTGCCTTACTCCTGCATAGAAACAGATGCTGTATTATCCCTCGACGACGACGCCTACTTGCGTCACGACGAAATCGTGTTCGCGTTCCGCGTGTGGCGTGAAGCCCGGGATCGCATCGTCGGCTTCCCGGGCCGCTTCCACGCCTGGGACTCTTCGGCATTAGACTGGGCATACAATTCCAACTACTCTTGCGAGCTTAGCATGGTGCTCACGGGGGCAGCGTTTGTTCACAAGTACTACTTGTACCAGTACACGTACTGGATGCCGGCTGTGATCCGACACAAGGTGGACGAGTTGCTCAACTGTGAAGACATTGCCATGAATTTTTTGGTGAGCCATTTGACGAGGAAGCCGCCGATCAAAGTCACGTCGCGTTGGACATTCCGGTGTCCCGGATGCCCTGTGATCCTCTCGGAAGACGAGTCGCATTTTTTGGAGCGCCACAAGTGCATGCAGTTTTTTACGAAGGTCTACGGCTACATGCCGTTGCTGTACACTCAGTTCCGCGCGGACTCGGTGCTGTTCAAAACGCGGCTGCCGAGGGACAAGCAAAAGTGCTTCAAGTACATTTGAAAAAGTGCCTCGAAAGCTGTTTCACAGTATAAACGGTCTTTTGTTCAATTTCTCAATGTGTAGTTGTTGATTACTGTAATTGTTTTTCCTGCGATAAAATCTCGTTACAACAAAATTTAGGGGACTTTAGTTTGTTAAACGGAACAATTTGTTATAATGAGATTTTTAAAGTTAATGACTGAAGAAAATTTTCACATAAGGCCTGCCTATTATCAATTAAAACTTACTTTTCTGGCTTTTCAGAATGTTCTCATTGTTGTAAAACATTGAATGATCGTCTGGAAACAAAATAATGTAGCTTCAAGGATGCATCCCATCAGTTACACCAATCTATTTTTTCTGGGAGGATGATGTATGGAATCACTTGGAAGCATGTTTGTCATTGAGTACAGCTTCCATGCGTGATACAAGAACCAGTAAGTCAAAGTTGGTGTCAGAAATTCAAACTGTAGCCGTCCTAGGAAATATCCACCAGGAGAATCTATTAAACAATCCTCAAAAAAGTGTTCTATACTGGAATTGGGAAGTTTTTCGTAATGTGATTGTTTTAACATGTACTCTATTGGCTTTCTGTCCGGACTTGAGGAAAAGTTTGTTATACTGAAAATTGTGCTGTAACGTTAATTGTTGTAACAAGATTTTACTGTATGTTTTACATGCTCAATTCGAAGTGGAGATTAAACATTTTTTCTCATTGTCAGGTTGGGGAATATTGGTTGTTCAGTGAGGTTGACAAGTGCCATGAAATGACGCAGTTGTCGAATGAAGCGGACGATGAGCTGCGTCCGAGCATTTGGCTCAAGACACGCGTTCTGTTTTGGTCGCTGTTCCACCAAGAGCAACTGTCATGGGATTATGCGGCCGACGTCGCCATGACACCGCTTTTGCGGGTTGTCGACGCCTCGCAGGACTGGCTTGGTGCGGTGAGTGAGTGAAGTTCATTTTCTGATTCGAGATTTATTTTTTAATTAAATTATTTTCGCCCGGTTTCTTCTTTTTCTTCTAAATGCCGGATGTTTAGATACAATAGGTGGAGAATTGTTGTTGATTAATTGTTTTTTTTTGAATTTTTTCTGCAATAAAATCTCGTTACAGCGAAATTTAGGGGACTTGAGTTTCTTCAACTGAACAATTTGTTAAAATGAGATTTTCAATGTTAATGACCGAAAAAATTGTCACAGAAGGCCTGCCTATTATCAATTAGAACTTACTTTTCTGGCTTTTCAGAATGTTCTTATTGTTCTAAAACATTGAAAGATCTTCTGGAAACAAAATAATGTAGCAAGGAAGAACATTTAGAACACTAGAAGCTTGTGGAACTTGGGATGACTTTGTGTTTAATTAAAATTCTATTGTGACCAGTTAACGTATCCACTGATTCGAGCTGTCATCTTTTTCCAAGAGGTTAAGAAAAAAAAAACTTAAAATCACAAATTCTTCTTAATTATTGTTTTTTGGCATCATGCGACGTAATTATTGAAACTGAATCATAAGCTTGGGTAATATTGACATTAACGTTTCGAATTTCTGAAAATCGTATGGCATTTTGAATTTTCTACGAGCTATTTGAAAAAGAGAAAAGTCTATATTCCCCACTGTTGCATGCAAGCAGCTTAAATCGTGACTCTGACAACGTCATTGTAACTTCCATCCAAGGACATACAGTACATTCATGCAAAAAGGATTTGCCATGGTGACAAACAATGAAGTTCACAATTGAACCACGATAACTCTAGTCTTCCTTAGTCGAATACCTCCCTATGTTAACTTTTTTTCCGAGTCCCCTTTCGAATCCCCTTAGAAACGATAATGCATTGAAAACCTACATAAGTCAAATTTTCTGACGCATTTTGGTTATTATTTTCTTGACACGGGAAGGAGAAAAACATTGAAAAATTAACTCGATGCGTTTTGAAAGGAAGTGAAAAACTAATTGGGCAGATGAATCTCTGACTCCGAGTTCAGCATCCTGTCAACTAATTCAAGAAGCAATGTAAGGCCCAGAATATTGCCATTTACAATTTCCTACAATTCTGCTATTGTTTCACACAACAAAAATGCTTGTTTCCCTAACTCAAAACCCCTGTAACTTGAAACCTCCTTAACTCTGAATTGTTTGCTGGTCCCTTGGAATTCAACTTGGAGAGTTTTGACTGTAGTATTATCTGCTTGGTAATGTTTTGAAATTGCTATGCATAAACGCACTAATGTACGGTATGTCAACATATCATAATGTGCAAAAGTGAAGTATGAAGCTTTTCGGGACATCAAATGAATAGCCAAAGAGTAAAATTGAGAGTTGACTGGTTTCTTTTATCCACGAAAATTTATTTTCACCACTTCGTGTTTTTTTTTTTTTGGGTGAAGTTCAGAGTAACACTTCATTTTTAAAATGCTTGGGTACACATTATATTTCTCCAAATAAAAAATTCCTGTCGCGTTTTGCTGAAAGTATAAACCAAATTTAAAACTGACTGAACCCATTAAACTCTGGGTCCTCAAAAAAAGCGAATTCTGGTTTTTAAAATTGTTGGTGGGGATGGCGTGTCTTGTTAGAGTCACACTTTAAAACCCTGGCCAGGTCATGTGAATTTGCGCCGAGCAGAATGAAATGCACTAAGCTAAGCCTTACATGTTTTTTTGCAGGCATTTTTGTCGATGGTGGTGATACTGAATGCGACTGTGGTAGCTGCTGTATATCATCTCGGTCTGCCCTACTGGTACCATCGGGATTCCCTGGCCTGCATTCTGCTTGTCCTTCTGGGACACTGGCTTCTGGTCAATGTAGCCTTCCACCTGTGGAAGGCAGCTAGTACGAAACCTGGCTACCCCCTCCCGGGGATGCCCTGCGTTTCCATATGCAAAAAGTGCGTCGCTCCGAAGCCACCCAGGGCGCATCATTGCTCTGTGTGCCGTCGATGCGTGCTCAAGATGGACCATCATTGTCGTGAGTATACTTTTTCCCTTTTACCGAGAAGAAAATAAAGGAATACAAATTAAAAAAAAAAACTGACTTGAATTACTACAGGTACACACTCCCTACGACGAAATTCAAGGGACTTGGAAAAGTCTTTATGGACAGAAGATCATTGTAGGCTGTTGTCAGTGTGCTAATTTCCTAACAGAAATGTTTGAACTTTCCTGAACCCCTTTTTTGGGATTATAGTCTTGGACTGTGCACCTGCTCATTATTGCAGGACGGCAGTACAAGCGCAACATTGTTTCTCTATTATAAATGTACAGGGGTACCTCGCAATTCCAACTCCCGCAATTCAATGGTTGAATTTGCTTGAAAGTTGACTTGCAATTTGACCTCTTTCCCAAAATTTGACCTGTTTTAGCCTCTTTTTTTTAGTCTTTTTGTGCTGTTTGACCTTGATTTTATAGTGTGTGTTGCAGTTTAACCATTTTGTAATTCGACCCTAGTTTGGCAATTGATTAGCATTGAATTGCAAGGTACCACCTGTATGTGCTGATATTCTATAATAGCGGCTGGCAATGGAATGCTGATGGAATATTAAATACTATCTGAAACACTGTATCTGAGAGGAACCTGTGCTTTCTATTTTTACCTGCATTCTCCATTGGAATACTTGCACCATCACTCCATTGACCTCAACTACAATCAAATATTACAAGGACCTGAATCCTCCCCTTTCTTTTAGTGGTGAGAGAACCCTTGGAAGGAGCAGAGTCCATTGTTAAAATTGTACACAAAGCATCTTGATGAAGTATATCTGAGAGATATTGCAAGTATACTTTTATTCCACCTGGGTACTTGAGGTACCTGGTCTGAGGCGCACCTACTGAAAAAGGGGAAGCTAAGCTAAAATTAAATTAGTCTGCAAAACCAAGGTCATCTCCTTAAAGAGTTTTTAATAGAGCAAGTTCAGGTTCTAAACAGTAAAATAACTTTGACAGACAACAAGAGAATCCCTATACTGTATAACAGGGGTATAAAGCCGCATGGGACAACAACAAAATTGTTGTGCAGAGAAAGCCATTGTACAGAGATTTCACCCTCAGAGTGTATCATATTCAAGAGATATTGGACCACATATTCTGGTTTTTATTCCTCAAAAAAGAGGCTTTTCCCTTGTTTTCTGGCTTAGTAATGCTTGCAAAATTAATTTCACCAAACAGAAAAAAACCAAGCCATCATGACTTGAATGCATTATGTTCAAGTGTACTCTACAGTAGAATTTCACTTGTGAATGGAGAAAATCGTTATTTTTTTTAATGAAAAATAACTCATATGGAGACCTGAATAACATTTTGGTAATGATGAGATATGCTGCTGTATAGTGATATACCCAATAACATCCTAGGACCTTGAGAAGAAATTAAGACTGAACAAGAATTATTTGTAACGAAATACTACTGATGAAATTTAGGAGTAGATACCCTCTTCCTTAATTTCTTTAGATTCGCCAGTTGATTTGTTTCTTCTTCAATTTGAGGGGGTTGCGAAATGAAGGCCTTGGATTTCGTGTACCGTACAGTACTGTAATCGCGTGCCTTTTTTCGCTTCCAGCCTGGCTCAACAACTGCATTGGCCTGATGAACCGGCGTCACTTCTTCTCATACATGATGTTTGTGTGGCTGGGGCTGCTGTACATCTTAGTCTTCGGTTGGAACATCATTTGGGCAATTGCGTCAATGGACTGCGGTAGACAGAGGAACCACGCAGAGATAGAAGCTGGGTGTTCCTTGCAGACCCCGGATGACGTCTCTTTTGCTCACTTGTCAAAGATGTCGCCCCTGACTCGCTCCATCTTGGTGTTTCTCGGCTGCTGTTGCCTGGGTGGCATGGTGATGTTGTCTGCTTTGGGCTTCTGGCACGCGTGGCTCATCTCCCGCGGTGAGACCACGATTGAGTATCACATGAACAAGGCGGAGAACAGAAGGCTTGCAGCCGTTGGTCGGGTGAGTCAACACTGTGTTTGGGGAGAATTAAGGGAGTAAAACAAACATTTGTTTTTGGCGAGAATTTAGATCGCAAAACATAAATTTGTGTTTGGGGGACTTCAGATCGTAAAACATACATTTTTGTTTGGGGAGATTTTTTACCTTTGGGGCCACTCCAAGAAAAATACAGGTGGTTCTCGACCCTGATCCATTGCTGGACTTGGGTCAAATTGCGAGAAACTTCCTAAAAATGAGAAATACAGTATCAGCACAAAAATGCGAAAATGTGGCCAAAGCGGGTCGAATTCTGGAGCAGAGGTCAAATAGCAAGTCAACCTGTGCTGTATTTACTCAAGTAAGACGCGCACATCAATTTTTGGTTACCAATACTGTTGAAATCCACTTGTTTGGATAAGCATGTACAGTACCAGAAAAGCCTCATATTTTTTCAAGTATTTTATTCCTTGGACATATTGGTTTAAAATGTCATGGTTCTGCTGCAGTGTTGTTACTGAAAATGACCTCAACATTTTTATGTAAATAAACTTGCATAAATTAACAATGATGTTTTAGCCGTTTGTAAAATTACTGTATAACACATAAAATGAAACTGATCATCACTCCCTTACCCACTGGTTCCGACGACCCGCCAAACCCGCAGGGAATTTTTGTCTCTGGTTCCTTTCCGTTGGAGGCCGATTCTTGCGGATCCAATCTTTTTGTATATAAATTTTGTATAACTCAAAAAATAAAGAAGTTACATTAAAAAAACAGGATTCGTCCGATAAAATCTACTTTAATCTTTGGAACGCAACTTTTTTGGCACTTGTGTTTCTGTAAATATTAGATGAAATTATTTCTTTATGTGATTGAGGAATAAGAGGGAGGTAATTCGATATTCTCCGCATTTCTCATTTTTTCCAGACGTTCAAGAATCCATACAACCTCGGATTTTGGCAGAACTGGGGCGTTTTCTTGGGATGTCACGATGGCTGGTCATTTTTGCGACGTGTATTGATACCCTCAGGACATGTACCACTGGCTGATTGCAACAGTGACGATTATCCTTACGCTGAAACTGGTGACCTTAGCCAATTCCACACGGAATTCGCTCGTGTTCGAATGCAACACAAGACAAAAAATTACTGAGGAATTGAAAAGAAATGTGGTTGCTTCTAATCCGTTTGAGGAAATCCCTCGGCTGTTTCCAAGGACGGATTAAGACGCTTTGTCTTGACCAATGGGCGGGGAGAAATGGAAGAACTGAAAGTGAAATCATGTGATACTCTTTTACAGAGGCTAAAGTGTGAACAATTTTGCTTAATTGTCTGATCTCTAGGATGTGTGGAGTGGGAGCTGTTTCGAGAAGAAAAAAAAACTACGAATAAAATTGTCTTCTGTTTCTTTTTTTTTCTCTGTTTGTCATTCTGTTGATGCTTACCCCACATTCAAGTGTTGGTTCATTAGCTTTTTCGAGAGTGAAGGTGTTTAAAAAAAATTTTTAGGCACCGCGTAACCTTTTTCTTGACAGTTTTCCCTTCCATCTCAATTTCAATATTACACCAAGATTGAAATTCACAGAAATGAAGTTTAAATTGCACTTAATCACTTAAATAAAATAATGATTACCTGCGCCGCGTTTCCTTGTTCAAACATTTTCAGAGTCAAGGTTTAAATTTGATTGTTTTTCGTTAACAATTTTCCGTCTTTGGCAAAAATAAATTTTGTCAACTTCACTATGCTTGTGTTTGTGATGCAAAAAGTGTAGGTTGCCTTTAAAAAAGTCGAATAGTGGTAAAGTTTTTAAATTGAGGAGGGCTGAGAGGGGACTGTCTCAACAATAAACATCTGCCTGTTTTCAAATTTTGTTATTGCTCTTTTAAAAGCTATTGAACCTTCCCCAGTTGGTGGCAAATACTGTGCATAATACGAATGCAACGATGTTATTCAAATTATAATTTTTTCCTCATTCTTTGCAGGAGGTGCTTTATTTATCTCGGTGAGGAAGTGTTCATTGTAAAAGTTTTAGGGGGAAGGAAAAATGCAATTGTGCTGGATTCTTCTTGCCGCTTTGGTATGCATTGCGGCACTGGCTGATGGTGCCCCTGCACCGATGAAATCAGACGTTCCTGGTTAGTTGTTCGACGACTGGAAACTAATTTTCTCGGTATTCACATTTCAAAATTTGTTCATCATTTTTCAGATGAACAAAATGGGACTGGTCGCAACAGCAAGCAGAGAATCAGGTCAATGCTGAAGGAGCAGAATGACAAACAAGATGAGATCAAGGTAATTGAACATTGAGTCTGAAGTTCACATTTCCAAGAGGAAAGAGGATTTTGTTTTTTAAATCATTCTATGAACTTGAGTTACTTGACCATTCCACGCTAGTCCATTTTGAATCGAAAGACCTATCGACGAAAATTGAATTCGCCATTTTGAGGATCTCGTCGTGAATAATTGAGCATGTATAGCTTGGAAATATTACTGTACCGAATTTAATTTTCAGGGAGCGTCAGTAAAACGCTTGTTCTTGCTGAACCATTGTTTGTATAAGGCTGAAAATGTGTTTCCGAAAGTTCCAAAGTTTATTCCAGGTTTCCAATTCTCGAAGTGTATTCCTTGGAATATTTATAGTTACCGCTTTAAAAAGGCAGAATTTAAATTTTATGACGTTTCGTGACTTCGACTCGGTCGATGTAAAAACTGTGAATTGTCAGGTATCAATGATAGAAGAAAACAATTTTAAGGGTGTGGTAACACCACGGGAAACCTTTCTTCATATTTATTTTCAATCTTGTGAAATTAAAGCTTTTAGAATCATTTAAACACGTGGAAACATTGTTCTCGTTATTTCTATACGATTTTTTGAATTTGAAAGCTTTTGGAAACATTTACGACACACTTGATCTTGATAATTGATCTTCAGGGCATTTATTCACAAAAATAGCTGATTAAAACATGGGACCCTGTGTATTTACGAGTAAAATTTGTTAGTTGTAGGGTTTCTGTGTTCAATTGTTCGCAGTTATTTTGTAGTTTTCTCGTGTAAAATTGTAATACTGTACTTTGAAAAATGATGAAAATGGGAACTCTGTATGTGACTCTTACGTAATGTAATTCAGTGTACATTTATTTTTTATTTTTAATCGACAATTTTGAAGGAAAATACATACTGTACTTCGTCAATCGGTGATTTTAGGCAAACATGGCCTCCTTGAGGAAGGACCTGAAGGACTTGCGAGTGCGTCTCAAGGCTGCATCCGGTGACGCTGCCAAAGAGTCTGAGCTGAATGCTGCCATCAAGAAGAAGAAGGAAGACTATTATGCCATGCGGGAGCAGAAGAAGCAGGCGCAACGAGCCCGGAATGAACTCAAGAACCAGCTCAAGTCCTCCAAGTCGAGCAGCAAGGACAAGAGCAAGAAGGGGAAGAGCAACAAGAACCGAGGCAAGAACAAGGACAGGAAGACCAAGGGCGAACAGTAATACTCATTGCATGCTGCGGAATCTCTGCTGAAATGACATGTATTACATTTGGTGCTGCCAAAGTCTTGACTAATTAGTTTGCTTTGCAGCCATCTCATGGTTAGTAGAAACGAGGGCATCTCAGAATGAACAAGCCCTTTTTTTGTCGCTTTTTGAATGTCTTCAACTCTGGCAGTTACTACGATTTGTTGTCGTTTTTGACTTTCTCATGTACTTGATCGTTGGTGTATTAAAGGAAATTCGGAGCTGTATTTATCTGTTCATTTTCATGTGAAGCGTACGAGCAATCTCATCATGGATTTAAATTATTATTCCTAACCCGAACGATAGCACGAAGTTAAAATTTTGGAACTGAAATGTGGATACCCTGCAGTAGGTCCCTGTACAAAGTACAATGAAAGCATACTGCACATTTTCTCATCACACGATTCGAAAAATTGAATTTCATTTTGATACTGTGAAGAATATTGTGGTGTTGAATAAAAAACTATTAATTCTAATACGCTAAGAGCCTCGCTATACTGAGGGCTTGTAAGTACTGTCAACTGCCATTTATTCTCAACTTTGAAAAAAAATTATGGCGGTAAAAATCTGAAATGTTAAAATACGAAGTGACGCGAAGAAATCAAACTTGATGAATATTCTTTGGTTGCCCTGTTTTCAATGTACGCACAGTTCTCTCTTATCTCAACACCGTAACGAATCCATGGAATGGATCACAGCTGCAGAGATGTGAGGCGAAGTATGAGTACCGTACGATCATGAGGACCGAGTATAAGTCTTGATAGAACTGAACACTAGAAATATTCCAGGGCATTTAACGAAGATTGAACACTTCGTTCAGTTTATACAGGCGTAAGATAGGCAGCACAAGCTTCTAGGACAGTGTTTCCCAACCTTTTTGTACCCTTGGACTGGCAAATTTCCATACAATGTATAGCTGACCAGCAAATTCCCAAAAAATCGTCAAAATTGTGCTTGATAGACCTTTATGGCAGGTATATAATACATTAGTTTCTGCTTCTTGCAAAAATTAAGCTAAGCCCCTATAAAGCATCTATAGCTGAATGTGATCAAAAACTTGAGTGAAAATTAAAATAATTTTTTTGGCAGGTAAAAATTTTTCTGAAGTACTGCTATTAAGATAAAAGCTAACTTCCAAGTTTCATGAAATGATTTCAATTGCCTGTCTTCCTGAAGTTCTGGATAATGATAACTGAGTTCATTGGGACTTCTAAGTGTACTATGCTGAAAATTTCCCACAAACCAGCGAACAACTTTTGCAGACCAGCACTGAGCCATGGGAACACTGTTCTAGTAGGAAGTGCAATCCTTCAATCTTACTCTAAAACCCCCAAAGTCCTGGACAAAAAAGGTTGTGTCTGGGCACTTTGACCAGATCTGGTCAAAGTGCCCAAACAAAACTTGTAAAATTGATCCTATCGAGGCAAACAAATTCACCCCTTAATGAAATCTTTTTAACATAGAGTCGGAGTTATAAAAAGTACAAGGCTTTCAACATGTACAAAGGAGAAAAACGCTTTCAAGGAAAAAAAGATCTGCTACATCTTTTGTTTGCCCAACACAACCGATTCAAGTATCAGACACAAAAATCAAGAGGAAGAAACTTCACGTTCGAACATAATCTGCATACACAACAGTTAACAAAAAAATGAAAACCTACCAATGTGCCCCATCAGGACGAACACTGAACTTCTCTCTCTAAAGAGGAGGGGGGAGGATCTCTAAATAATCTTGTAATCAGCAATGGGCTCACACACCTGAGATCTTGTTCTGTCCAGCACTTGCGAATTTGACATGAATCGGTTCAAACACCAGTTTTTTCTTGTTTCAAATAAATAGCTCTCCCCTTGGCGCGCTTAGTTGAACATGCATTTTTTTTTTGCTTGATAGAACCATTATTTCGCTCCTCGCATGAAATTCCCGATCAAAATATTTCCTCCACTACCTACTCAAAGATATTTCGCACACAAACACGCACTCCAAAATTATTATGACCAATAAGATTTGAGCCCCGGCGGAATGCGGAAGATGAACAAAACCGATCTGCCTTCACACTCGTTGTTCTGCCAAGTCGAATCATATTCGACAAGACTTTAAATATCTGCACGCTATTTCTAGCCCCCGGCTTTGCACAGACAGCGTCTTTGGAGTCGCAACGAGAGTCTTGAAAAACTCATTGGTCAAAATCTTGTACTACGCTTCAGAAATCATGTTTCCTCCTTCAAGAAACGCCAAATTTGGACAGAACAACACCGCGAATCCTTCGGCACATAATTTTAACCAACAGTACAATAACAGAAAATCATATAAGAAACTCTTCACTAGTTTTCCATATCTTTCCTTTGTTCTTTTCACTTGAATACCACACATTCCCTTTGAACAAGATGAATTGTACTGGTAATGCACTGATTACATCATAGCGTGCCCAAAAAAAATTGTAATACGTTTGCCAGCACAAATAATGGCTTTTCATTCCACTTCTACAATTCCTCAATTTCCTCCCTCCTTCGTATCGATGTAAATTTGAAGGATTGCTCCAGGAATAACGAATTGCTCACTTTTCTGCAATCAATATTAATTCCCAAAAACAATGAAGCTATTCCAGATTTAACCAAATTTAGGATTCAGGCAACATTTACTCCACTCTACTCTCCATTAACACTACCAGAAGAATGGAAAGTATCAATGTATGGTTTGCTGAATACCTTTAAAAAAATATGGACTTGCGCACATTACCGCGAATTTTACAACATTTTTCAAGTCACGCATGCAAAAATTTGACAGGGAGTCTTGCGATTCTTTCGGAAAGGTAAATTATACTTGCGCAATTACACACTTTCCTGGATTCTTCCCCATACTGCTTTCCTCTCTTAAAGGGGCACCAATAAAAGGTTTTCAGGAAAACCTCAGTTGGAACTAATGAGAAATCTTTTCGACTCACGTAAAATTGCCCCGCAATCATGATGATGTTGCCAACACCGGAAAAAAATCTTTGATGGGGTGTTCAAGTGAAAAGAACATTTTCTTTTTGCCGTGGACAGGAACATAAGCTGCAGGCACAAATGAAAGTCGAAAGGCTCGACTTTTTTCAAACCAGCCGCGCTATCGGATCCATTTACACATTCAACAACAAAAACTGATTTACATCATGATTCGGAAAAAGCAAGTGAGCATGGAGACCGGAGCAAAACCACACACATACGGAACTTCGGAGCGCGAAAAAAGTACCAATACATAAACGCGTAGAAAATCGGTAGAATCGTTTCACTTCGTTTTGTTTACGAAGTTAATCCACGTTAACACTGCCATCATGTTCAACGGCCCCGGGGGAATCTACACTGCTGTCAACAAAATTGCTTTCATTTTTTGAAATTCAAAGTTCGGCGGGTTTAAAAAAAAAAAAAAGATTTTTTTTTTCAAAATTGTCAGACCACATCACCACAATGGAGACTAATCATATACCGGTTTTAGAAATCAACACAAGAACGCATGGATATATTTCAAGAGAAAATATCTGAAAGAACGTCTTCGTTTACAAGGCAAGGAAAAACAACTCTCATAATCGACACATTTCCATTTGAAGCTGCTTCAAGATTACCAAAAACCTGATCATTACCAATAATCTCCGAAAGATAGAAAAAAAATTAAATGAAAAAGAAAAAAAAAAACGCTCTCACGCATATCAGACTGCCATCAGTAAAAATTATGCAAAACGTCCGTCCCACATGTTCGAAAGGGCGACAAGTCAATAGATCGACCGAATGGCAATACAAAAACAAATTATTCTTCCTTCAACAAATCCCCGCTCATTATTTCTGCGAGTCTTCTGTTTTGGCTGCAGGAGGCTCTTCTGTAGCAGGGGTTGCAACAGCAGCAGGAGTACTGCTTGGCTCTTCACTCTTGGTCTCCGCTGATGCAGCCTCTTTCGCAGCAGCAGTTGCAGCAGGAGGAGGGGGAGGAGCTGCAGCAGCAGGAATAGAAGCTGGAGCAGAAGGTGTAGGAGCAGGAGAAGCAGCCTTTTCTTCAGCCTTCTTCGGGATTTCTTCTTTCACCTCCGGTTTAGGTTTGGCAGCAGAAGTTGCAGTAGTAGCGACAGCAGCAGCACCGCGTCCACGAGCAGGCTTCTTCTGTGCGGATTCAGGTTGCTGTTTCTGTTTCGCCGCCGTTGCTACTGGCACAGAAGCGCGAGAGGTCTTTGCAGGCGGCTCATCAGCGGAGTCATCATCGTCGTCATCATCATCATCGTCATCGTCGTCGTCACTGGTAGTATCCTTATTCTCCACGACAGCGACGAGTTCTCTTCGAGGTCGCTTTTGGGCAGACGTTTCGGGTTTCTTCGGCGTATTGGCCACGGGTTTCGCTGGCGTAGCTGCAGCAGCAGCTTTCTTCACCGCAACGGGGACAGATGTTTTCTGGGGGATTTTCTTGGGCAATGGCAACGGCGTCTTCTTCTTTTGAGCAGCAGTGAGAACAGCAGGAGGAGGAGGAGGAGGCGCTTTCTTTTTGGCAGGCGGGCTTTGCCTTTTTGCTGGGGGTTTCCGTTTGTTGGCTGACGCCGGTGGCTCGGCTCGTCGTCGCTTTGGGGAGTATTCCATATCGGACGATTCGTCCGAATCTTCATCACTGGATTCCTGGACAGCCCGTTTTCGCTTGCCAGATACCGGGGTTTCGGGTGCTTTTCGCCCAACCCGCGTCGGGGTTTTCCCCTTCTCTGTCGACACGGGCGACGTGTGCTCCGACTTAGGCTTCTCCTTCTTGCCAGATAACGACAACTGAGCCTCGTCTTTCAGGATTGAAACATCAACTGCGAAAATATAAGACAACAATCTAGTTTAGAGACCGAGAATTTAACTCGCGAACTAGGAGAAAATTTGTTGAAGTACAGTACTTCAATGCACATTTTTATTGAAAATTACACAAGGCTAAATTATCTGGAAAAACCACTGAATAAAATCTGTTCATAGAAACTGTCTCAATTCCGTCCGGGATGTTCTGCGAGAAACGGACACGCTAGTATTTTTTGGAATTGCGAACAGCCCGAACTTGAACTCTGAAATTCCCCATAACTCAGTACAATACTAGTAAACCAATTTCTGAATATCCAACAAGATGAAATTTCTTAAAAGCTGTCGGCTGCAGGAAAAAGACTGATAAAATCTGTCAACTTACTCCCGTCAGGATGTTCCTCATTCATCTTCGGCAACTCTCCTCCAGACTGTTCGTAGTCCAACGAGCGCTTCAAAATGTTCTCGGCGCGCTGCTGCTGTTCTTTTGGCAATTTGTACACGTCTTTGCTGACACGCTGCATTTTCAGGTCGCACAAAATGCATTCAAATTCTGCGGGAACATACAAAACAAGAACGAAATGACGCATATATTCTTTTAGGTCCGGTATTCACTAAGAAACTCACCAGTGACATCAGGAAAATCAGGCGTGTACACGTGTTTCTCTGAACCGTCTTTGGAGTCGGAAAGCCACATGATCTTAATTCTTTTGCTCAACTTCGTAATGTTCTGCAGCGCCTGACACACATAGAAGCCGCCTTCTTGATTCCGGATGGCGAGAAACTCATTCCTGGAGAAAAATCAACGTAACTTATGAACGCAGTTTCTCATCTAGATCTACAGTTCACTATTAAATTTAGAGCATAATATAAATTTAGACTGAAAATTACCATCAAACAACAGATCAAACGGGAAAAAGAAGTGCGTGTCAGGTTATTCACACAGGCTCTCGTTTAATGTAATTTTCGATAGCATATTATTCGAGCAGAAGTACTCTCGTGACATAACATCTGAAACGAAATCTTGAACAAAACTTGATGGGGACAATACCTTATTCTCTTCTTTCAAACATTCGATAGGTTTAAAAAATTACAAATCTAGCGAAGTAGAGCTTACGGCACGAATTATTTCAGAAACTAGCCATGAGAACTTACAACAGAGAAATGATCGCAGGGTCATTTCGTTTAAGGGGTCAATTTCCTGAAAAATTCCATCAGGAAAACAACTCAGGGACGAAGATCCAAAACTTTCAACTGTCACCACTTAGCATCAACAAATATTGAGTATCATTGGGTCAACGATTTATCCCATGATCGGGACAACAAGAAGAATTTCAAGAGCAAGGATCACACACGCAGGCCTAAGATAATCCGAATCGTTCGGGAAGCACTAAAATCCAACATTGACGAACCTGTAAAAAACGGTGATGGCTTTATTGGGGGTGATTTTTGGTGTTTGGAGGAGCTCCTTGGGGATGTGCTCAAACTCAGGAACGGGGCTTTGAAACACTTGAGTGATTTTTCGGTCCCTTTTCGGTCGATGGGAATCATCAGAGACTCGCTCCGTAGCTTTTCCCGGCGTCGATGTCCGCTCAGCCTTTCGGGTCGAGTCGTTGAGTGGAGCACGACCTCGTCTCCCTGGCTTTGGGGTGGCACTTTTCGGCTCCTCCGTAACGTTGTTCGCAGGCTTAGCTTGTTTGCCAGGTACCTTCGTGCTCGGCGATGCTACATCCAGGAGAAATACATTTTTATACCAGAACAGCACATCGCATTTCAAAGCATACTGGGTATCCGAAGCAATAATGGGACATAGAAATGAACACTTTGGGGGAAACCTTGAGCGAAGTCCCGACAATAGGATAGAACATCAAAATTGGTGACTAGGTCAAGAAACTTCAACAATGATTTATTGAAGCAAAAAGTTTCTGGAAAATACTGGAGGAGCTCCTCCAATAGTAGGTTTCGGTTAAAGCATAAATACGTTATACAGCGCAAATCATAACCAAAACTTGCCAACGACTGCAGCAAAGTTTCAAGAAATACGAAGGGTCCGCATCATAGGCGGGAACATTTTTTTTTAATTCTGAAGCTGCGTGGCATCTCATACTTAATTCCAACAAAATTCTAAAATAAATTATTAAAATGAAAATCCAACTTGACAATGCAAGCCAAAATTTAATTTCTGATGCATTTTATCTTCAAAATACGGCACATTTAAATGAATCCCCGGGAACCAATCCGAATAAAAAGTTCATCGAGCGCTCTCTTAGAACGTTCAATAACTAATTGCTGCTTGACAAGGAAATGTGATAGACCCAATATACAGTATTTGTATCTTACCAGCGCTTGCATTCTGTGTTTTCTGTGTTGCGGCGGCATTTGCGGAAGCGGCCTTTTGTTGAGCAACAGTGGGCTTCGATGCTGGCTTCGCCACTGGAACCGGAGGGGATTTTTCGACCGGTTTGCGCGATGAGTTCCGAGCTGGTAAAGGTTTCGCGTTGTTCTGCGAAGCAATCACTTTAGGCGCGGCATTTGATCCACTATTAGACGATGCAGGAGTAGCCTTCGGTGGACTGGATGCCTTCGTTTTCTCCGCAGTGTCCTTCAACGGAGCAGATGCTTCTTTCGACTTTGGAACTTCTGCAGGCTTTTGTGCGGGTTGACGAGGCTTCACTGCTTGTGATGCGTTAGCATCCGGCTTGTTGAGCTTTGGAGGAGATTTCGAGTTCCGATTTTCCACAGCTGGTTTTGCAGGAGAAGGCACATTAACAGGCGGTTTAGGCTTGGCTTGCGATTCTGGAGCCTTCTTTTCATCCGGGGAAGCCTTCGCGGCATCTGCAGGTGCTGTCACGTCCGGTACTTTCTGAGGTGACAGCTTTGGTTCACTGGAAGCAGGTGGCACTGATTGCGAATTTTTCACGGGCGAGGAAACTGGCGACTTCAAGGCGTTCGCAGGTGGTGCTGCTGTGTTTGCAGTAACAGGCGGCGCTCGCGATGCAGCTGGTTGCGAAGTAACTGATATACTTGCAACCGCGGGAACCTTTGGTGGATGCGCGTCACTTAGGAGCGGCACTTCGGTTTTCTTCGGAGAGGATGCAACAGAGGTTTCCTTGGCTGGTGTGTCGTTGTTTGGTGGCTGAGCCACGGGAACAGCTCCTACAGGAACAGGTGGTCGGGGTGGCATCGGCGAACCAGGGATAACTGCCGGTTTGTGTGGACTTGAGACTTCGGCTGGCCTCACATGAGGTATCGCCGAAACATGTCCAGTAGGAGCGGACTAGAACGTAAGGAAAAATATTCAGAATCCCGGAATTTAGAAAGAGAATCAATTTACTGAGGGAGAAACCGTAGGGTGCTTACAGTCTTCTCAAAATTTGACAATGGGCCATTACGACACCGACGTGAAACTGATGGTTGTACACATGTGGTACGTTAATACCGTAGAACAAAATTACTGACGATTCCGAATTAATCTATCGAGTGAGTGCTGATCTCACTAAGCATTGAACGAGCGATAATTTAAATAAAATTTACAAGAAAAATAAGCGGCCACAAGAAGCAACACACGCAATTACGAGATTGAACACCAATTAATTCTTCATCGTCGGTTACGCATGCTTAAATCCGGAAAACTGCACGCAACGGCAAACAATATCTTTGTAGTTTAAACATCTCCTAAAATGCGATAATGTTTCTATCAAAGGGAAAGGGAACCGGTTTGAATCACGAATTCATTATGAATTCAACTCACAGGTACGGTACTTTGAGGAATCGTCGGAACCTGCACAGGCTGCGATTCCTTCGGCTGTTCCATGGCGGAAGTTGAAAAATACGGACGCGGAAAAACTGTTCAATCGTTCACGCACAAGAGCCAAAACTGAATGCACGGCTCAACGCATCCACGTCACTCGCATCGTTCAGCGCACATATTAGCATCATTCGGATTGTGAATACTTCGAGGAGCATTCGAAAATGTACGAAAATCAGCTTTGATCCACGATTTGAGATGTCACTTTTGAAGCCATACGTAAGATACTCATTCTTCCTGGAAGAAGTTAGAGCATTCGCCCGTAAAATAAAATTTCACAGATACAACCAAGAACCCTCATCCAAGTATTAACGGCGTTTATCAACTTGACCGTATCACAGATGACTTCCAGCCCTATAAATTAATTTCTGCAGACAATTCTGAACCAGAAATCTGGGTTTGGGGTGGCAGCCGAAATTAGTAAACAGAAACTTTCACGAATTCCTGAGAGGAATTTCGCCGCATCCAGAAAATGGCCGAAATCACCCGACTACGGTACAGTGTGTCCAGATACGTTAACGTACAAAATGGCGTACCGGAACTCCATATGTGAAAATAACTGGAGATGCCCTCCACTTGATATACGTTCTGAATAAAACCCCATGCGATACTTAACAAGTAAGTAAGGGTTGCATGCTAGTATCTGAACAGATGATTCATCAAATTTAAAATAAAATAAAATCGATTGGAGCCTTTCAAATACTATATAATGCATTTGTGGTTCTTATGGCCCTGATTTTGTAAAGCAAGATCTTTAATTAATAACAGTTTTTTAAAATAACTATCTCCTAACCATAAAGTATACCTATATAGTAATTTTGTTGTAGCTTTTCCCAAATTTGTTTTCGCTTTTAGAAAAATCAATTTACCGCAGTAGACAATCGTACGCCTCATGGTAATTTCATAAGCCTCATCGAACTTGGCAGCGACATCTTTCTAGTTATGTCTCAATTCCGCTCAACAATCTGTTGGAAACTCCCTCCGCGGAAAAGCCCACCGCGGAAATCAACTTCGCGGGTTCGAGTACAGAGTGAATCAGGGATTCGGTTTCGAATGCCGTTGTGGCAGGCAGGGCATACTCTACCCTCAATTTGGACTCTAGAGTCCACCCTGCCTAGGCAGGATGGACTCTAGAGTACACCCTGCCTTCAGGCAGGATGGACTCTAGAGTCCGTCCTGCCTGAACAAATCTTATGGTGGGAGATGCTAAATCGGGCGGGTTGGGTGGACTGACTTGCCTTCTTATATTTTCCCTCATTGTGAAGCTTTGTCCAGTTCTTATTTAAAGGAATTCTCATTTGAAATGTTTTCCATCAAATGAGGGTGTTTTCTATTCTCATTTGCCGTTGGCTTTAGGGTTAATTCTGTTTCTTGAGTTTCACACCACAATGTGTTCTGGTGATTTTTCAAGGTCTCAGGAAAAGCTGTGTAGGTGGATTAGCTTCGTCCTTTCTTCTCCCATGTGAAACTTCATTCGGTTGATTCTTGTCGCAAGTGATTTTTCCTGTGACCCTTTTGTGTTGGTGATCAAGAAAGTGACCCCTGTGGAGTCTCTGACTTTTAGGACGTGTAAGACTTTTGATGCGCACCAGTTTGAAGATTCTGGTTGAAACATGTTTCAACCAGAATCTTTCAAGAATTTTAATGCTTCAGTTTTTGAACTCAATCGTGTGTTTCATAATCTTTTGAGTCAGCTTTGTCAAATTTTCAAGCATAGGAAAAATATATACAGTATTCTTTGTCGATGAATACTATTAATGTATTGGCTTATTGTATGTGTGTTCCTTTTCTTCAGATCCCATCTGCCTCATAGCTGCCCCATCGAGGAAAGTGCTCACCGCCTTACCATTCCCCAACAGTCATAGAATACTGTACCTTCTATCTACTGCATTATGAGTGTATTTTCCGTTCCAGATGTACTATGATTGAGGCCTAGGCCGTGAATTAAATATTTATTTATTCTGAAGTGCGAGCTACATGTACCGAAACGAGTGAAACGTGATGCTCGCTTTCTTGAGATTTCAAAGCTATCGAGTGTATTCTACAACGGCCTTTTAGTTTTTAGAATTCATCATGGAGGAAACGGTGAATGGGAGTGTTGCAGATGAAAATTCGAGGGAACGATACGTCGGCGGAATAGAGATCACGAAGGAAGAGGTGAAGTCATCCTACTGTCGGAATTTCTAAATGGACTTCTTGGTAGTAATGCTGAACTCATGTTGATGCCTTTGCAGTATGACGAAATAATCAGCACGTGCAAGTATTCATCGAATAATATTGAGGAAATCTTGGAGAAGGAAGAATTTTCTGAAGATTTTTATGAGTCCTTGGATGAAAATGGTGAGTGTCCTGATCAGAGTTTCGTCCGCCTTTCGGGAATTACTGGATTTAAAAAAAAATATTTTGCGCATAGATTTCAATTTTCGCTACGTTCAAGAAGACAACTGGAGAATGCCAATTCGAATTCCCACTAATGAAGCATCGGAAGGTGGTGCTATGCAAGAATTCGGCATTTTAGAATTTTGCGTCGGCATCGGTGAGTTTCAAATATTGCCAAAATGTACTTACCCGCTTGCTTCTTAAAGTATATCATTAACATTTCCAGGTGGGGACAGAATTGTTCACACGAGGGACAGCGTGACAGACGTGCAAGAGAAATTATCCATGCGCGACTTCATGAACTTGTGGAACAAACACGAGCCAGAGAAGAAGTTTGAAATGATGTCTTTGGAAGTTTCGAACTGTTTCCTCGAAAAGTACATCAGAATTCCTCGTATCGTGAGTATCGTATTCACAAGATCATGGGTAACGTGCGAATGTGGGAGGCACTCTGATTTTCGGAAATTGTTTCAAGGAAAACCAACATTTTGTAATACTGGATAAAATATGTGTAGGGATTTCGGTCCAAACAGAAATAAATAAGGTAGCTTGCTTGGATATTCTTGTATGAAAAGATCGTTTCTCTTAGGAAAAGTGAATCATGAGGAATATATCCGTGTTTTCTCAACAGGTTCGACAGTTGGATTGGGTCGAACGCGCGTGGCCGAGGCATTTGCGTCATTTGCAGACTGAGTCGATGTCACAGGATGTGATGATGTATCCAAAGACGCAGAAGATTGTTACCATGTCAACAAAGGATTGCTTTAGCAACTTCCGCATAGAATCCAGTGGCGCTTCAGTGTGGTTTCATATAAGATCTGGAAAGAAAGTGAGTTTTACATAGTTCAACTCTTTCAATATGGCTGAAATGAATTCCTGCTGGTAGATTTTTTTTCTGGTGCCCCCCGGCGTGGAACGGCATGCCTTGTATTGGGCCTGGGAGCGTCGACCGGAATGTAGAAAGAACTTCTTCGGATCCATGGTTGACGTATATGGCAGAGTAATCGTTTCCGCTGGGGAAACTCTGGTTATCCCTGGTGGATGGATATACGCAAGCTTTTCTGTCGAAGATACAATTGCATATGGTGGCGTTTTCCTTCACAGCTTTAATGTCCCACTCCAGTGTGAGGCATTCATACAAGAGGATCTGATGAAGGTGAAACTGGAGTTATAATATTTAAAATAAAATTAAGAAATTTTCTGGTTCAATTTGTGGTATCTGATTGATCTGTTCATAATGGATTTTTGCTAGTACATAATGCTGTTCGATGATCAATCGAGTGTTGTGTTTGAAGCCAGGAGAAGTGCTTAGTTCAGACCCACTGAAATATTCAACTTTTGAAAGAAATTACCGGAACAAAAATAATAAATTGGACATTGTTAGGGAAATATTGTATATTTGATTGCAATTTTTTTCTATTGTGTTTGTTCGGAAAAAAAATGTCGCGGATTTGCCTAAAATCAGCATTAATCATCCAAGAATTTTACGAAGGCACTCGCAAAATTCATGAAACCGTTGTGTATGAACTCAACCGATTTCTTCGAATTTCCCCGGGCAAGAGCTGTACTTGATGTCTTCTCTGCTTTATATTTTCTTATATGCAGAGTACTCTGGTCTTAAAACGTGCAGTGCGCCTTTTAGCTCATGATTTTTTTCTGCCTTGACTTTTTGATTAATCGAAGAATTACGGTAACTTCTTTTTTCAGGTAGCTCCGGAAAAAATGTATCCTCTATTCATTGAGCTGCATTGGTACGTTTTAGCAAGATACGTAAGCGTGCTTCTCGGAAGAAATCATGTCGTGGATCTACAAGAAGACTCCGACATTCCTGCAGACCAAACCACATCGTTTGACAGGCCTTGCAGATTTCGCCCGGGCGTCAGCATGAGCAAACCGGAATTGGCCGGTTTATGCAACATGCTAATATTCATGACGTCTCTGCCGGTCGAACATCGCGTTAGACCAGAATTCATTCCAAATCCACACGCTCTGATCAAAGACATTTCGTTCATTGTTGCAAAATTCGACGAGTTCAACGAATTCAAAATTTTGGAACGTCCGTCGCTCCGATGGGAGGATGAAATCCGAGGACCGGATCCGTTTCTCCGCCGGCTGAATCACGGTTTCCGTGAACCCATGAAGCCTCGAGGAGTGGGCAACTCGAAATTTCGCGTGAATTCTACTTGGCGTCATTTGGCTCGCCAGCTCGTTTCTGTGGATGCGAAAGAGGTTTTGGTGCCGACGCACCCGCAAAATCTCAAGGACATGCACAAGCTGGTGGTGGTTAAATACCCGGAATTGGAAGACATTTTCCAAGTAATCAAACCCTCGGCGAACAAAAGGAGAAGGCGCCAGCGTTGCTTGGATTGTACGAATTGTCACAACAAGGAGTGTGGGGAGTGTATTTTCTGCTTGGATATGCCGAAATTCGGCGGTGATGCCAAGTTGAAGAAAAGTTGCATCAAGCGGCAGTGTGTAACCGTGAGTAAAAATTTGAAATGTTTTTGTGGGTAATTATGATTTTTCGAAGCTACCATAAACTGCCTAAAACAAAGGTGTACAAGATCCGGCCGGTAGAGGCCTTTCATCTGGTCCGCAGAGCCAGCAAGGAAAAAAATCACTGACAAATGGCATCATTAAAGTTCAAGAAAAAAATTGAGGCTATTGAATAGTTGACTGCAAAACAAATAAATTCTACAGTAATCAATCACAATAATGAAGAATTATTTTAATGAAGAGATTTGTTTAAAAAGATTTCGACGTACAGTTTCAATTTTTCAATTTTTTTTTCACTCGTGTCAATTTTATGGGCAACTATCTCAAGGGCCTCAAGGAGTGCTGAATTTAAATTCAATTGAGGCAGTAAGTTGCAATGATTAAAAATAGGTTTTGGTACCCTCGGATATGTTAATAGAAACAATATCTTCTCCAGAATTAGTTCATAACTTCTGAAACACGGGCACTGACACTTGCTTCGAAAAAAAATTAGTTCCTATTGTTGAAATCACTCAGAATTGTCTTTTGTGTTTGGACGTCAGTTGAATCGTTTTCTTGAAAAAATATGAAGATTTAATTTCTAATACGTCCTCAACGAACAGTCAATCCTGCAGAAATGCAGACAAGAGTTGAACTACAATAATAAAAATGCAGTAAAAAGGTTTGTAGAAAAAAAAAGCTGTTCAAGGGAAGTACTGAATTCTGTGAACGTGATGATAGACACATGGAATGGTTTCAGTCATCTAGATGCACAGTATATCATTAAACAATGGTAACATTTCTTGTGGGTTTTTGTCCATTCGGCCCGTGGCCATTTCTGAGTTAGGCACCAATGGCTTAAAATATATATCAAGGTTTCATTCGAATACTATGTTATTGAATTTTCCCAAATTTTTGAAACCTCTTGTATAAGCCCTAGAAATGTTCAACTATGTTTTAGTTTGATCATATTAATGTTTTTTGCTCTTTTTCAAATCAACAGCCCACTTTACCGTTCAAAGTGATCTGTGATGTATGTGAAGTTGCGCAACCTGAAGACGCTCCACCGCCTACAATCGAACGTCCGAATTTGGATGGCTTGTACGAGTGCTTAGCTTGCTGGTCCATCACTCATCGCGATTGTTCCAACGCTAAGGTAACATTCGATTGCGAGTGTATTCTTGAACATCATCACGATGATCACTCGATGTTTTCTTGAACATCATCACGATGATCACTCGATGTATTCTTTCCATTCCAGGATACTTCTCATGAAGGACGCATTCTTGACTTCTTGCCTTCGCTCTGGTTGTGTAAAGGTTGCATTTCGAAATACATGCGCCAGAAGGGAAAACCTTCCAATGGAACTGCAGATAAGGTACAATTTATTGATTTCATAAGGTACCATTTATTAATTTCAATCACCTTTGCGTCATTGTAATATTCGATCGAAAACTTAAGTTTCTTGCTTTGTTGCTGGAAGAAATGAAACTAAGGATGGATTTTTAATTTTCGCAGGGTAAAGGGGAAAAAAGAAGTGTAAATGCTGATGGGGAAAGTCGTTCGAAGGTTCCCAGAAACGGCTAAGGTGAGGAAGCGAACGATGAAGAGGTATGAATTTCAATTAATTATATTCTCGACTGGTTCTGAAAGTACAGTAGTTTTACAATAATTAAGTCATAGCGCCATTCTTGAAACCATCCGATTATTCAGTACAGAAATTTATTGCAAGTCTTTCCGTGAAAAGAACAGACCAATTCCTGTCAAATGGGTCTTCTGAGTTTAAATTTTTCTAAGCATAAAGACACATCAATGTACACACTGTATTTATGTCCAATTTGAAATGTGATCTTCGTTCTGGAAATTTAGAAATTCCTGTTGAAATCAATTTCTCCACGTTGTTGAGCTTCGAAAAATATTCCCTCAATTTTTGCGAACGAGTAATGAACATTTCTGAAAATTGATGTCATCACAATTTTGAAGTAGGATGGTACATGCCATGCTCAGGACATTGGTGGAAAATATTGAAGTAAAATTTGTAGGAAAAAATTGCTATATTTTTCTTGAGCTCGAATTTTAAGCTGATTTTTTCTTTAGCTTAAAATTTATTTAAGAATCTGTCTTCGCACATTTTGTTGGGAAACTTTCTTGACTTCCAACGTGAAATTTATAAGTTGTTGTGAAATAACACGGTGGGAGCTTTTAGATTGTCACGCCTTTTCTTTTTTTATTTTCAGAAGAACTTGTGAAGTGGAGGTGTGCTGAAGTATCAAAAGATATGATTTGAACTACGTTTAATTTTGATTTTAGATCGAATTGAAAAACCTGTTCAAGTGAATCGTCCTTTCGTTTTGATGATCCGCGTCGATCTCGTTTACCGTATCCCGTACTTGTCGAATGATGCATCGAATTGAATTTTTTCGTACTTTTTTTTTATTTTGAGGCGCAAATCTTGAAGGGCTAGAATTCGAGTGAATTCGTTTCTTGATGACGACTGATCTTGCATCGTGCAAAGACAAATGCGAAACTGTTCTGCTGGTTGTGCGAGCAAGTCTTTTTTAACTTGAATTTTCTCTACAGTTCTGTACTATGTTTCCGTTTTCTCAAATTCCAGATGACTGAATAGCTAATAATGACAGTGGTTGTGAGAAGATATGACCGACCCGCGTTAATGAATATCAAGGTTGACGCTCATTTGCCATCTAATGGCAAGGCTAACTCAGCGGAGCCGTCAGTTCCCAGCAGTAACCCAGGTTTTCAACAAGAATCTTCCTCTCAACGCAGTGTAAGGAAGAAACCGTTGTACGCTGTCCGGCCTATTGTCATCAGAGAAGGTCGTCGTCTGTCTTCAGCTGGTACGTACATTTTTGTCCTACCTACTGAAGCCCAAAGTTTGAGGTTTTCACCGATACAATAATTTAAAAAATTATTCTTCTGTGTCGAAGCTGACTCGTAGTTCCGTTGCATTCATGTTTCCATGTTCTAACCCACAGCTGAGTTTGGTTAGGTTCTTGCAGTTTGGATCAGTTTCTGTGTCGAGTTAACCGAGGATTAGGCTAATCAATTGCTGAGTATTTTACTCAGGGACTTGAAGGAGCTGGAGCCTGGAGCCCGGAGCAGAGCGATTTTAGCCGGAGCGGAGCCCGGAGCAGGCAGAATTTTTGGCTGCTCCAAGCTCCAGGCCTCAAATAAAATTTGAAAAATTTGGGGAGAACCCCCAGCCATATGTGACTGTTTGGCTGGCACCAGTCAACAAAACTACCTCCCTCCAAGGCATTTGAGTCCTCAAACCCTGAACAATCTTCCCCTTGTTGCTCTATTATTATTAGGTTGAGAGAGGGGTTATCCTGAATCCATTTTTTCTCAACATCCTCAAAGATGTGGATGCTTGCGTGTACACAAGTATCCCATGGTTAAGTTGTATTCATTTTTCAAGGAAATCTAAAAAAATGGGTTAGTTTGTGAGATATACAAGGAGTCTAACAAAAGTTCTTGGAATATAATTTTAAAAGGCCTACACATGAGATGAAAAACAATGATTCTTTAGGAAAATAAGTTCTTTGGCACAAGAAAAAAGTCAGCCCTGTTTGACCCATTTTTTGAATGTTTTGCAAAAGTCACCCTGACAGAGATCCACTCAAAAGATGAGGTGCCCTTCCTGCAGATTTTGCTGTTGTAGCCCAGCTTTCCTCTCAGAATTCTTGAAATCAACATAGCATTAATTCCAAGAGTTGCCTCCAGGTCTTCCAAGGTAATTCCACCATATACACATTATAGTTTGGCTGGTGCCAGCCAACAATAGTCCCTCCCTTTGAATAAGTCATTAACATCTTGCTGGAAATATGCATCCCTTGGTTGCTCTAATGCAGTAACAGTGGACACTTTATACTCAATAGTCTGGACCAGTGTCCCCCAAATGTTTTTGGCCCACAGACCAAGAAATTTTCAGAATTTTTTTTGTTCTGGACTGGCACATTTCAAAAATAATTTCTGCACACTGGCAAAGTTTCATATTTTCAAACATTTTTGCAGACTCAAAAATGTTTTGCTTGAAAGACTTCATGGGAGGTATTTAAAAAGTTTGCTTGATTGAAAAAATTGAGCCAAGAACCAACAATGCAGCTACAGTACAGTGGAATGTCTTCCAAAATTTAGAGAAGTCAGCCTAAAGAAAGGTTTCTCTGAATAAAAATCAAAATAATTTGTTTCAGCAGGTGAAATTTTGTCTGAAGTATTATTAGGAGAAAAGCCAACTTTTATTTTTCATCATTAATTCAAACTGCAATTATCTTCCTGAAATTTCAGATAAAAATAACAGACTTCACTGCTCCTTTTGATTTATTATGCAGAGGAAAATTTCCTGCAGACTGAAAAAAAACTTCTGCAGACTGGCACTGGTCTGTGGGCCATGGGTTGGGGAACACTATTCCATCTATGAAGATGCAGGGGACCAGAAAAAAATCTTCCTCAGATAATGCTTTTACAGAACCTCTTTAATATAGGATTATAGGTAGTGGGCCTAGTGGCCCATATGGGCCTCTACCTATATTATAGCTGAATATAAACCTATATTATAGCTGAAAATAAATTCACAAAGATTATAATTTCCTTACCGTATTGTGATGAAGTTTTATTACTATACATTCAAGTCAGATTTTCCTAGTCTGTGACAAAAATTTAAAAATTTGTATTGCCTATAGAGCACAAATNAGGTAGTGGGCCTAGTGGCCCATATGGGCCTCTACCTATATTATAGCTGAATATAAACCTATATTATAGCTGAAAATAAATTCACAAAGATTATAATTTCCTTACCGTATTGTGATGAAGTTTTATTACTATACATTCAAGTCAGATTTTCCTAGTCTGTGACAAAAATTTAAAAATTTGTATTGCCTATAGAGCACAAATTTATGCTGTAATTAAAAATCTATATAATGAGATTATTGATGAAAATTAGTTTGTAAAAATAAAATCTTCATATCATTGTTCCTGTGGAACAAGTGCTGGGACCGAGAGAAAATTGTTATTGCAAAAAAAATTATGAAAATTATGAAAAATTATGTTATTGTTATGGTGAAAAGAGTCCGGAGCTCCGGAGCCCTGGAGCAGAGCACCAGCCCAGAGCCTGGAGCACAGGATTGTGTCCGGAGCGGAGCAAAATTTTTTTTTACCCTGCTCCAAGTCCCTGAAGTAAAGGTTTCTAATTACAGTTGAACCTCTGAGAGTAAAATATCTGGGGACCAGAAAACACTTTTCACTAAGGGAGGTTTCAAATTTTGGAGGTTAAGAGTCAAGAAAAGAAACAGTTTTGCTGCAAGGAAAAGTGAAAATATTGCGGGATATTGCAAATGAAGATAATCTGGGCCTAAACTTGCTTCTTAATGAGTTTACAGCTTGCAGAACTTCAAGGCGAAGGGTTCACTTGTTCATTTAGTCTGTCACTTCATTTCAAGATGCATCAAATCATTTGTTTTATTTACTTTCTCTTTCATATTTCAAGGAAATAATAACCAAAAGGCCTCAGAGAATTTGACTTACAGAGATTTCAGAGAAAGAGACATTGAGTCTGGGGGATTTTTAAGGCATTATTTTTCAGGGAATCCAGACAGGGACTTGGAAAAAAATTTTCAATTCAATCCAGACAGGTGCGCATCATAAGCAGGGATAACATTCTTACAAATACTGTACTTCAAAACTTTTGGGCACATTTCAACCAGGAATTGTCAACAAATCTTCAATGCAAAAAATTCTAAAAATGGAAACCATAGGAAATTAACTTTGGTAGATTTTTTAAAAGGTGTTACTCCTAAAATTGGTCCACAAATTTTGTCTCTTTTTTTTTTCTCCCCCAGACAAACTCACTCGAGTTGCTGGCAAATCTGGTGGCCCACACGACTTTCGCTAGCTGCCAAATCGCGCACATGTCCTGCTCTACGCCAGGCATGGCCCGAAACTATTTGTATTGCCTATAGAGCACAAATTTATGCTGTAATTAAAAATCTATATAATGAGATTATTGATGAAAATTAGTTTGTAAAAATAAAATCTTCATATCATTGTTCCTGTGGAACAAGTGCTGGGACTGAGAGAAAATTGTTATTGCAAAAAAAATTATGGAAAATCATGTTATTGTTATGGTGAAAAGAGTCCGGAGCGGAGCAAAATTTTTTTTTACCCTGCTCCAAGTCCCTGATTTTACTGTCAAATAAATTAAAGCGTTTGAAAGGAAGTTTGAAACGTACGATCATTCACAATTCCCATTACTGTTTTCAGACAACATTTTACCGCAAGATGTGATGGTCCGGATTTTCGGGTATCTGTCGAAAAACGACTTGTGCACGTGCATGCGGGTTTGCAAATTATGGAACCGATTTTCTGTGGATCCAAGGCTGTGGAGGAGCTTGGATCTGTCGCACACGAGGAGATTTCATGACTCAATTTTAACGGGGATTGTGAGGAGGCAGCCGATGAATCTAGATCTGAGTTGGTCTTCAGTGAATAGGGAGCAACTTTCTTGGATGTTGGAACGGCTGCCGAGTCTTCAAAATCTTTCCTTAGCGGGTCTGACCTGGCTTGATGTTTCCGCTCTACGGTAAGATTCCTCGTCGATTATTATGAACATTTCTTTCTAGATGATGTGAAGGAAGCTTTTCAGAATAAAATTTGCAAAATATGAAGAACGCCAGGATAAAATAAAATGAGTCGAGATCACGTTGAACTAAATTGATGCGTAAATTTAAATGCAAATTGACTAAAAAGCTATTTTCGGATAATTTAGAAATGCTTTCCGAGTCTTGAACTGCGAGTATATTCCTTTTAATATAGAGAGGCGTTCGAATTCGAGCGCTCGTAATCAAATCAATGCCTTGACAAATTTATCAGTTAATGAACTGAACGGTAACTTTGTCCAGCATCGTTTTTCATCTTTTGTTGACGGAACAAAAATCTAGAATATTGCGATTTTCGACCCGCGTTCATTTTTTAAAGCAAATTTTATTTCCTCTAGACATTTCAGTTGTCCTGCGAACCTCAAAATTTTAGACCTAAGCTACGTTGGTGGTTTCGGTGACACTGAACTCAAACGTCTACTGTCGCCGCCTATCGACGGCCGGCCGGGAATATTATCCGGAGAACCTCGATTGAAGAATTTAACCACGATTGTTCTCTGTGGTACGAGAACTACGCAAGATTCCGCTACGAAATTGATCGAAGAATTGAAATTCAAGCAACTGAAAGTATTGATCAGGAAACCTGATGCATAGATCTTCAACAGACAACCCGTGTTGGTATATTTTCTCGATTCGTATTTTTGTGTATGTGGGTGTCGCGACTAGACATGTGATAAAATCGTATTTTTTGACGAATTCGTGATTATACATTATTGAATAAGTAAAATTCCACGGTTTCAAAAGCTGAGATCATCATTCCCTCTAATTCGAGATCCAACAATTTTACACGAGGAAAACACATCACGCCGACTTTTGTGCGTAAAATCTATTACAAATTCACAATCTCCTACAGCCAATCAGGTCAACCACCAAAATACTGGACGGAGATACCGACTTGAAAATGTTCACTGTTCCGCTCTTGCCGCAATCCTAAATAGGTCAAGAGTAACCGTTACATTGTGAGGAACGTTCGGAAATTTCACTTAAATTGCGAGCACCTGTTGTTATACCGAGATTTCGGTCTCCCTGCGTTTTTTCTGGAGTTGTCAATGAGATTCGCATCCATAAATTCTTCTGAATCCGACGAAGCTTTCCCGGTGTCTTCTGAAATAGCGTTTGAATTTTAACATAGCATTATCTCAACGAGAAAAAAATACAATAATATAAATAGCTTCAAAATGCAGCACTTCGTTACTCCAAGTGAGCATTCAGCTGAACTTATTTTTCCTTCCCTGTCGTATCATCATGAACGTCTGGGTTACGAATTTTGAAAACTTTCGTTTCATCACCTGTGAAGATACTATAATTGGGACTGACCTGAATCACTGCCAGCAAACAAGGCTGCGCGGTCGAGGAGATTCGCCTGAGGATCATAAGAATTTCCACCAGAATCGTCCAACGAAGAAGCATCATCATACAGTGCATCTCGACTCTCCCGACCAGAGCTGTTCATCAAGGAGTTCCTTCGCGAGACAGCCTTGTTTCGGTCCTTCAATTGGCTCACCATCTCCAGCCACTGCGCATTATGGTGTTGGAATTTTTCTTCCTTGATCCTCGCTGCCCATTCAGAATCGCAATTCTACATCGAAAGGAACGCGTAATATTTCTCAGTTATTCGTCGATTCTTCCGCTCAACCTGATCGTGTAAGCATAGGCAATATATCCAGAAGTACTAAACAGAGGCAAATCAGAATTTCATACGTGCTAAACTTGGGGGAACATGCGTGCACAGGTTATTCAATTGAGCAGGAAAGAAGTCACCATTTTTTTTAATTGACCAAATCTAGTCATCTCTGTAGGCGACATCAGTGATCACAAACACATGAGGAAATCGGATAACTCGGGGATAATGACAGTGACGTGACACGCATGTACAATAAAACAATGCATAATTGTGATGGAGGAAGTAGTATTTTGATCACGATTTACTTCAGGAATTCTATGGAAATGAATGTTTTGACTGAACCCTGACAGACGCGAGAAAGAAGCGGGAGAAATATTTTACTCACTCCAACAATGTCCAACGTTGCATCGCACAATTTACAGATTTCCGCGTTCGCGTCGTGCATCAGATCGATCATGTAATGTATTGCGTCTGAATAATTTGTCATAAATCCTTCTCTCATATCCGTTTTACCCGCTACAAAGCGATGGAAAAGGTAAACGATTTGAAGAACGAGTTCGTCATCTTCTTGTTTCGCTGTAAAAATAAATTCATTTTTAGTCAATTTTCCAACATTCATCCTATAACTAAAAATCAATTGAGAACGTGTATGATTTCTGCGCACGCAGACCGCTGTTGCCTGTTCACTGATTATTGTATTTCTGTTAAAATTCGAAGAGAATTAGTAAAAAAAAAGTGAGAAAAACACGAAAATGCAAAGCAGTGAGAAACTTCTATAGGACTGCGACTGCACAGACCTTGTACATTTTATGGAATTCAATACTTTACCTCACACTAGTCACACACTCACCATTCAGAATCTGCAGAACATTCGCTACTATCCCTGACTTCAAAATATGAGAGGCGCATACGTCATCTCCTGCCATGGTACCCAAGAGAACTATGATTTCAAGTCTTACATCATCTTCAGAGTCTCCTGAAAATTTTTAAAATGCATTAAAATTGTATACATATTTAACACGATCCGTGTCCGAGAAAAAAAAACACTTCCATAAAACAGTTTCGCTGGATTCTTTTTTTGTTTTCATTTTGATTGGTGCAAGTTTTGGAAATGAAATGAAAAAATCCCTTTTTTACACCAGGTATTCTCTGCATATAAAGTTTAGGTTTTTTTTTACACTGCTTCGTGATCAGTTGAACATTTGGAGCGACTTTAGGAATTTCAATTCATTATACAGTACAACGTATTAATTATGGAGTATAAAATTCTTAGCATCCTTAAAACCACGCGAAAAAGAAGTTTCAAAAGAGGCAAGAATATTATCGATTAGAAAAATCAATTTTTTTTTCAAGTGCCTTTCTTCTCCAACCACCCTATTATTGACAAACCTGCCAGCAGTTTCTGCTTCAGCCAAGGAAACAATTCATACTCGTCGGTGACCAGACTCCAATCCAGTTCTGGCAAGTTCAAATTTCCAAGGACCCCTAAGCATTCCAAAGTCAACTCTTCATTGGGAGAATCCTTCATTTTTTCCACAAGATCTCCAACGAATTCCTGTGAAAAGCACAATTACCAACATTTGAAAATCGTGAGGCCATGCTTGCACCAACTATAAAAAGATGCTTGGTCGGTCCATCGTGCTGCGCGATATTCCGTATGATTTTCATTATTAGCGGATCATCAGTTTTGAAGGCACGATGGAGAAGGAGTTTTAATCCCAATCCTTCTCTACTGCTTCCAACGGTTCCGCAAATCAATGCCGCATTTTTCCGATTTGCCGCCAAGTTGATGATCAACGCCATTACTTCCATGCCAGGATCATCCTCATCCGAATCCAACAAAAATTTCATCAGCTAAAAATCGAAGCATGAAATACACGGGGTGATATTTCGAACTCGTTCACTTTGAGAAAACATCAGCAGAACGATCATGATTCCCTCGTTTTCTCAACTAGAACCGAATGTACACGAGTTTTGTAGCCGACTTTCCATAGTTGAGCATGTCAATACACGATGGACGAAGAATTTTCCTTGTTTTTAGAACTACAGAATTGCAAGAATTATGCTAGTAAAATCACAGGAATTTTAAAAAGTTGTACCCTATAGTGAAGCCCACATTCCTCTTCTCCGAATTAACAGGATACGGAATTTAACGATTTTGAAATAAAAAAATTTTTGTTTCAGAGTTTGTACTCCAATGGGGTGGATATGATTTACAGTATCTGGAAATAGTCGAAATATTCTAGATTGGCTCCTAAAGATGAAATCAAACAGGTAATTTTATTTACCTCTTACAGTAAACTTTGCAATACAGTACAATTCAGACATCTTAGCCAGTAATATACAGTACAGAATAAAAGGCGCTATTTGAATCGGGCTACTGTTAACTTTCTGAACTGGTCAGTTATTCGGGGATACGGGTGCTTAAATGCACTAATTCGTCTTCCATGACAAACTCACCAATGGAATTGCCTGAGTGTAAGTAAACATCGACTTGCACTTGTCATCCATGCTGAGGTGATACAAAACGCATACGGCCTGATGACGATGCCTTTCATCGCCTGAAAAACGGATTTTATGGATTAGATTTTATCGTTTAAGAGTTTATTCGAAAGATAATGTGTATAGAGAAATATGACCTACCCATTGCAGTGACGATCTTAGGCATCAATCCTTCTTTGACCATCGCAATCCGCAAATCCGGATCAAAAGAAAGATTAAACAGAAGCCGCAGCGAAAGATTCACTACGCTCGGATCGTCGCACTGAAATAAGTGTCCCTGAACTCCATCTTCGCTCAACAGGAAACTCAATTTTCCGATCACTCCCAACAAGGCCTTCACAATAAAAACAAATTTCTTGAATTGTATCCGAAATTGAAGTCAAGAGGGTTATAAAAAATTATTGGACCACACTAACCATATCGTTTTTGTTCTCAATGTAAACCGAAAGTCGCTGAAGGAATGTGAGAACCAATATTACCAGATCATTGCCTGATTCAGGAGTCAGCGCTTCCACAAGCAGCTTAATTACGCCTTTCGAACGCATCTTCTGCTCTACTTTAGGATCCTCTGACAAATTCAGCAACAGGTAGAAGCAAACTGAAAAACACGGGAAAAAATCCAGTGATATCAACACATTTTTTCCAGGAATACTACAAAAGAGTCCATTAAGAAGTCCTACCAGTCTTCCAGTCATCAGCATTTCTTTTCATCCAAGATGTTATAATTTTCAAGGTTTAATATTTATTTCCCGGACTTTCGTTCGCAAAAAAGACAATATTATCAAGAATTTTTTTTTCATTCGTGTAGCTGGACGTTAAAATTTACCCGCGCACGAGTCTTTCCTCAATCAGGGCTAAAAGTATTCCGTATATTTAAACATTTTTAAGATAATCCCAGACAGTTTAGGTCGATTAATCCTGAGGCAGAAGTTAAGAGCAAAATATTCTAAAAAGCTAAAATTCCAGCACAGTTTTATCACGACACAAATTAGATGAACTAGTGCATTGACAAAAGTGGTCCCTGAAAGGAACTCGAGAGATGATTAATGAAGGGCTTTCTTCCCAAATCCGAAAAGCTCCTTCGAAGTACAGTATTCGAACATAATTGCAAAACTTTTGAAACAACCCTCGACCCATTTAGGGCAATCAATATGCAGTACACCCAAAGTTACGTTGAAGTGCACAGCTGAAAATTTTTTTTCCACTTTCGACTACAGTGTAACGATGGGAAAAAATCGAAAATACCTCGCAACAATTGGTTCAATTTCCGGATCAAAATCTTCAACTTTTTCATCGACAAAACCCGATCATTGTTTGAAGCATCGCCGTCCGGCTTTTCCACATCCGCCAGAAACTTCTGACGTCTTGTCAACTCATGACGCACGATTTCCATGCACAATGATCCAATCTAGTGAGAAAAAAAAATGTATTCTCAAATTATACTAGTTTTTTACTTTTCTGGAGCACAAACTTTGTAATTTTGTATAATGCTGTGAAACTGCGTGAACACGGAGAAGCAGTAGAAACAGTACACAAGATTTGTCGCGAGATCCAGATTTCGCTTCCAGTCTTCCCTTAGAACTCGTGATAATGCTGATAGAAGAACTTCTAGAATAACGAAAACAAAATCCCAAGTCAGAATATAATTTTTAAAAATTTGTCGCTCTCTTCAAACCGTTGTCGAAGAACTCCTCGAGATTGTCTGGATTTCGCGTGAGCTGAAGGATTAAAGCTGCTCCACGGCATTTGGAATTGATTTCTTCGTAAAGCATTTCGATGTAATCCTCGAGATCATTCAAATTTGCGACTTCTTTGCAGGCATTGAACGCTTCCAAATCAGGAGAATCTTTTCCAGAAGACGTCCATGCTTCCTTTTTCTTACCATCTACAATTAAGGAATAGGCGTTCAAATGACAAGACCTTGAAATTAAGTGAAAATTTTCTGCACCTTTCGGTTGTCCATCAGGCTTCTTTCGGGTTTGCAAATAGAACAAGAGTTGCTTCACTTCTCCGAATCTGCTCGGATGAATCAACGTGCATCTTGAGATAATCTCTTCAGTCAAAGTATCGATGTCAGTATCTTCCGTCAATCCTTTGATCCGAACCAATTTTTGACTTTCCTAAAAAGCATGACCTCAGAAAATGCATCATGAATCGAAAAATCACGAACTGCTCTCAACAAGTACCTTCTTTTCTCCGACCATCGGATCCCCTAGTTCGCCAAAAATTTGCGCCTCCACCTCATAGCTGATGACTAACGCATTTTCCACCGGATGCACATCCAAAAGCGAAGGTTTTATTTTACGTTTCAAAAACTTCGCGTCAACGCTCATCTGTACCCCGCGAAACCATAGCACCAAAATTAATGAAGGCCAACCACCGATTAAAAAAAGCCATCATGGATCGTTCTCTCAAGCTACCACAGAGAACGATTTTTACGCGAATATAGGACGCCATTCCTTGTGAGGTTTTCGAACTTTTTTTTCAATTACAAACTGAAAATAAGTAAATGAATAAAATGCTGGCAAACATGCATTACATTACTTGCCTAAAACTTCACGATTCGTCACATAATTTGGAAAAAGAAGTGTGCTAATCATATTACAGATACTGAATAATGATCCTTTCAACTTACTGTATCCTGGTAATATTAATGCTCATTCTTAACCCCATAAATTGGACGAAGATTTTCGGAAAAAAATATTAATTTTCATTTTACAGATAAATCGAACAACACTAATGGGCATTGATTTTTGCAAGTCGAATAAATCAATGATATTTACGCAAATTTTATACTGTACATCGTAATCGCGTACAAATGAAAATTTGTGATTAAAATTAATCCTAATGGGAATTCACATTCCTCCACCAAAAGAAATCAGCTCTGGGTTTCACTCAAAAAGCCCGTTCTTTTCAAAATCAATAGAGGACAACCATCATTGTGCCTCCGTTCTTTCGCGCAAATATGCGTCGGCTTGATCTTTCACAGCTTGAAGCTTCGCAGCGCTTCCGTGAGTACTTTCGAAAGCGATGTACTTCTTGAACACGGCCTGCATCTTTTTCATTGGCAGCTCAGCTAGCGTCATTTTCTCCAATACGGCCCTAATGCAGATAGATACAACATATTAATTTACTGCAGAATCGTTACCGTCACATTTTTCAGTACAAAAACCGCTTTTTTCCATTATACTTACGGTAATTTTAATTTACATCACTAAGATGGAACCTGAATATCATCAGGTTACAGCGGATTCAATTCAAGTAATGCAAGGTCAGATTAAACTGCTCGGTCAGTTTTGGGATTGTGGGGACATTTTCCTCAAGAATTTGAAACCGGGAGAAACAGGGGAAAGGTAAAACAAATGCTGCACTGGAACAATTAAATACCTGGCGCCATCGACGTTTCCAAACTTCACGAGTGCATCGATGTACACATTCAGAATGTCCATCCGTTTCGGGAACGTTTTTAAAAGCTTTTCATACAAAGTTTTGCCTCTTTCCGGGTCACCGTGTTTCAATTCTAATTGGGCCCATTTCGACATAACATCCAAGTCTGAAAAAAATAAATAGTAAATACCTGTACAGTAATTGCGAAGACTCCAAAAATTAACAACGGAATAATGAACACTTACGTGTTGGTGATGCCAAACTTTTAAGACACCGATTAAAAACAGTCCTCCCGTCTTCCAACTTGTCTATTCGCATGTAGAATGCAGCAAAATCAATCCAGACATCCTTGTTGCTTTTGAATTTTTTCACCATCTTCTCGAACAATTCTGCGACTTTCTATTCGAGCGAAAAACAAGAGAATTCACCACCACGGCAGTGATTGAAACAATTCTGTTCAGAATTTTTCTTGGAAGCCCATAATTTAATTATACCTCGTGTTTATGTGATTCTTCGTAGATTTCAACTGTTTTTCGAAACACGGAAAGCTGGTCGTTGGTTTGGAGGGCTTCTTTGAATGCAGCCTCCATGGAATCCGGAGTTCCATACAAGTTTTCCATGTTCAGCAGCGCAGTCCACACATTTAAACGTTCTTGCTCTTCCCGGAAATTTATGGTTTTCAGCGCTCGCTTCGCAACTTCTCTAGCTTCATCGACTTCACCGCCCTTCAAAAAGTATTCAAACTTAAGCGTTAGTTATTCTGTAATAACTTTCAAGTCTATAGAACTGGAAGCACAAATCTATGAAGTACCACTGACGTACATCAATTTAATGGCCCACAATTTAAACCTCGAATTATCTTGACGTCGACTAGGTCTAACTTTTGTGGTGGAACATATATTGTACTAAGATGTCTTAAAACTTCGGCGGACCTCAAATTATGGAAAATTCCGGAGTTAACATAAAAAAAAAAACTGCGGGAAACGGACATTCGAAAAAAACCAACCAATCACGAAATTTCCGAAGAATATTTTAAATGATTCGTGGATACTCAGCACTCGACGGACAGACCTGAAGATGAAAAACCATGTATTTGATCCAGCAAATTGAAGAGTTTGGTGAACAAAGAACAAGTCTGTCAAAATCCTCAGTAGTTCGCGGGGCTCGCAGGGGATCCATGAGTTCCATTTCCGCTCTGCGCGTTATTTCTTCCTCTTTTTTTGGGTCAACTTTCGTCTCTTTTTCATCCTTCGAAATGGAAGAATAAGAGATGTTAACTGCACAACGTTTCTAATAATTTAAAAAACCTCACGTCAACGTTTGAAATTGAAACTAAATGATTTCTTGAGGATTCGAAGTTTTCTAGCGGATTGATCCATTCGAATTTTGAACCAACAAAAAGTCCCGGCTGGACTGAAGACACGTTATTTGAGGTTTTGGCTTTTGGTTCCTCAGATTCTTCCTCATTTTTCAACGATTTGCTCGAAGATTTCTTTCTTTTCTTTGATTCCTTTGTGGAAGACGTCTCAGAAATTTTCTGATTCTTCTTCTCCAGATGTTCCGTTTCCAAAATATCCACATCAGACGTGCTTTCAGTGCGCTCACGTTTCAGATCTTTTCCGTTTTCATCGTCAATCTCTGCTCTTCTTTTTTTCCCAGCGGACTTCGCGAAACTGGATTCTACTCCTCCGTCAGCTCTTTTCTTGGTTTCCAAGGGTTCCTTGGGATGTTTTCGGGGTGCTTTCGTAGGATACGGCAAGATCCATCGTCCTTCATGAACAACCCTGTGGATTTACACGTAAGCGTTCTTTCAAACAAATATTTTAATCAGAGGCATGTTGAAAATAAAAAAAACACTTGGCATAATATACGTCGATATACGTAATACTTTAAACGTAGAATATACTGTACGCCGAACCGGAAAAAAATAACTCAAGTTCGCGCCCAAGACGATGAATTTACTCAACGTCAGGGGGTTATCCATCAATATTCATCCTGCTCTACACTCCACAGCACTTTTAAACGAAAGGTGTCGAAAAATTCTCTATAAATCGGAAAAATCAGTATATTCAGCTCGTTTCTAAGATAAGATAAAACGTAAATCTAGTCAATTTTTAAAAGAATAAAAAAATCTATTGAACTAAAACAGAAAATAAGTCAGTAATCCATTCCTTTTCATTCGACACGAAACACCATCAAAAGCCTATGAAGGAAGTTCAATTTTATTCTAAAAAAAAATTAATTTATGATCATCAGCGACATCTATCCAGATTGAAACAATCTTCATTTTTAATTCGCTGTAAGATACTGCTCGCTTTCATGGAATAATTTTTTTTTTAACGAGATGGAAGTTGTTGGACACTAAACAAGGTGAAAGTCAATTTAAAATATCACATCGTAAATGTTCACTTTACGCAGTCGCTCGTTCATTATCAATTAACGAAGAATATTAAGTAATTTTTGCGTCTCGTAATATACTTGAAGAACTGTACTCACGGAAACGCCGAGATGGGGACGTCATCGTCCACCAAGAACATTCCTCTTCGATCAACAACATCACAGAGGTGAACTTGAGAAGGTGCAAAAACTACTCTCCAACCCGAAACCTTCCCTGGCGCCAATAGCACTACGAACTGCCTTTCACACAGCAGAACCTGAACGTTTCATAGAAATTCCTCATCGTAATGAAAAAAATCAACAACAAAAAGACGGACCTTTCCATGACGATCCTCAGACTCTCCTCCACTTTCCTCCAGAAAGCAGCGTGGCAATAAGAACAACTTCTTATCAGAGAGCCGGTAAAAAAGTGAAATGCACTCGAGCTTCTCTCCTTTTTCTATTTTAATGCCATCAATCCCTAAAAAATAAAATGCTAAAATGTCTGAATATTGAAGAAATTAAAAAATCCTTACTGGAAGGTGGAATTATCACATGCGCCGCGGATATTTCGGAGTCGACTCCCTTTCCCACTTTCACTAAAAACTGATGATCAGTATTTTCCGCTTTTCCACTGACAAGCTTTGCTGTGATTCGCCCAAGCCAGTCCGGCTTAGTAAGTTTCTTCTCAACTAGTAACGGAACTGACGCATTGCAAAATACATCATATTGGTCGAAATACTTCTCCAAATGTCTTCCCGCCTGCAACAAATATTAAAAATTAATAATTACTGAATCCAGCATTCCAGTAACTCGGATCAAGACGCGCCAATGTAGTCTAATAAAAATGTACATTCGAGAAATGGGTAGCTTCTGAAGCAAAGTAGTGTTATAAAAAATGAAACCGAACTCCAGTTCCATCGCTAATAAAAAAGGAGTTTGAATTAATGATGTTTTCAATAAACCCAAACCTGGAATAAATTTGAGATTGTATCAAAAGTAGTAAACGTAAACACTTACAAGTTATACAATATCTACTGAGAGTATGAAACAATTTCTCTTGAACTGGATATACAGTACCATTAAGGAAATCATTACAGAAAATCTATCTGTACGTTTATGTGAATAATGAAATGTCTCAACTCAATATAAATGCAGTTCTTTACCTCTTTCGGGTTTTGCAGTACATTGAAAGGGCTCAATGTAAGCTCAGCACCAGAAGCATATTGTCGATTCAGAACCCGGATAACTCTTCCAAGCACACTTGAGCCAACCGCAACTCCTCCCAGATCTTGCAGAGAGCCTACATTCAAGTCACTCGCATTCTGCAAGAAACAAAATTACAAAAGCGTCAATAAATCTTACTGATGCAACAAGTAGTTCGTACACACAAGATTCCTTAAAAGTTTACAAGCAGCATCCCAACAATTATAGGAAGAAGAAACATCCGACGTAACACTCTTTTCTCTTAATTTTCGTTCAATAAGAAAAAAAACATGAATGCCTTGAACAAAACTTCAACCGTGACTGGTTAAAAATTTGAATGGACTCTCGTGCTGTAAAATTGAAAAACTACACAAAATACGAACTCTCAAATACACGGATCCATGGTTGGCAGGAGGCTGCAGAGGAAGTTGCAGCTTCAGCATTGTTTCAGCAATTTCCTGGACGACACCCGAGATCAGCTGTCCTTCTTTCAGCTCAGTGTTGATTTTGGGGTAAATATTTTCTTCTTGAGCTTTAAAAATTTGACAAATGGATTGCTTGCACGTGTAAATCTTTTTCCCCTGTTGGTTGGACCACAACCGAACGCCTTTCAATTCAGCTCCTTCTTGCAGAAGAGCAAACCACCTAAAACGACGAGTTAATATCCAAATTTCACATTCAGAATTTCAAAAATTAAATCAGAAGGTTTCTTCATATTTGGACAAAATTTGAATTTCGAATTTACGAATGTTGCGAGGAAAAAAAGTACTCACGCTTCAGCCAGGTCCGGAAAATCCGAGAGATGATATTCGGGGATAATTCCAGATACTTCTCCCAGTCGATATTCACCGCTAACGACGAAGTGGTCGTTTTTTTTCGCATTCAGTTTAACATGAGATAGACATTCCCCCACGGATGGTTCATTTTCTGACTTCATGGAACACGTAATCCTAATGGATGGGTGCATGCTGGAATCCGCAACGTTAAGAACCTTCGCCAACACCAGTTTTCCCCGGGAACAGACATTTCGGTCTTCAATATGCGCCCACGGGAGAAAACACTACAATAAAATAAATTTGAAAAGTAATTCATTACAATTAAGCGATGCAACTAATTTTTCGGAAAATTTGTAGAAGCTTGAGTTCCATATGACCAAGATTGACCACGTGGTAAACTATAATCCGCTCAAATTACAAATAAAAATTGTTCGCAGAATTTTGCATCTTGTAGACTGCATTGGTACTGATGATGAAAATTTGAGCAAAATTTCAATTCAACGGGAAGAAAGCCATTTGCGTGAAAATTCACAATATTTGATACATATATGATATCTTCTTGGGATTTTAACATACATCCGATTTTCACGCACAAACTGTCAACAATTTTTAACACAGTACTTTAGGTGAAAATAGAACTGTTTAAAGCCAGTCAACCGTAAGTAAAAATATATATGGATATATATGGACGAAAAACTCATTCCATAATTTTTATGCATCACTTTTAGCCTCCCAAATTCCATAATTGCCCGAGGCATTAATCGGCAAAAGCTTCACAAAGTACTGTAATGTAATTTACCAGGATCCTCAATATTGTGAAAAGGTTACCAAAGATTAAAAAACGGCAAAGCCACGTGGACAATAAAAAATTGCATTCTTGGAAATTCTGAAATTCCGGATCAAACACGATGATTAAATGTAAATAAAAAAGGTCGAAGAAAAGAATAATACAGATTTTTTAAACGTTTCAAGTTTTCCTAGCCACGCGTAAAATCTGGAGATCCCTAAAAATTATAATCAATTCTAAAAAAAAAGTCTATAACACGTAGAAACGATGTTCTCACCTGCACGTCGTTGAAAGTTGAGCAAACTGCCCCTGTTTTTTGAATCCGGGTAACCAGAAGTGGAATGACTCGTCCAACGTGATCCTCGGTCACAGACAAAAAGTTTCGTTCTTCTCTGTCGGCATATTTCAACACGGCAACGTGACAAGCAAGAGTTAATCTTCCCTGAGCCACACTCCAAACGCGACAGCGTAACTCTTTTCCAACAGGAAACCACTTCGCTAGAATTTTCTTCTTGCGATTGTCCGCATACCAGTTTATAGCCAATCCTAGCGGAATGAATCCCGTCCCTTTCAGAGGCAAGTCTAGAATAATGCCGTCCTCCGATGCTTCGGTTATTGTTCCAGCCACTAGATCTCCAACTTGAGCATTAACAGCCGAGGATATTTCTTCGTAGGTCTTATCTTCCGTAGAGAACATTGCAATGCCATCGATGTCAAAAGGACGGATGAAACGCATGGAAATATTCGACCCTATCGCAGGGTTCTTCGATGCACTTTTCGAAAATTCTTGCATGGAAACTATCCCAAAAGAGTCCTCGGAAATTTTTGCAAACAACCTGCAGAAGAATATAATAGCACGATAGATGAACAAGATTTGACAGATATAAAAAATCTTACCATTCATTAGTAGTCCATCCAACTTTTCCAACGGTCATCTCAGTTGATTCCCATGACAATGAGGAGCAAGATAAATTTTTGCAGATAAAATCTCTCAAGGAAACAATGCAGCAGCCATCACGATTGACAAAAATCCTCCCTACAATCAGAGTTCCCGGTTCAAGACCAGGCGACTTTTTTGCAGGTTTTCTGCGATGCTCTCTCGGCACAATTGCATCATATCGATTAAAAATCTTGACCTTCAGACTTCCATCTTCTTCGCAAGAACTAATAGTGCATTCCACAAGAAGACCAACTTTCAGTGACTGTAACGTCAGCTTCTTCGCTTTAACGACCGTCGCCTTAGAAACTTCTTTGGGATCAACGGAGACTTTCACGGATAAGCCGCCGACGTGACCAGAAACGTTAACAATTGCGCACCACAAAATATGACCAACTCCAATTTTTTTCCCTAACCATTCTTCTAGTTTCTTCATGGATTCCGTCGACGTAGTCACTTGCACTCCTTCAATTCCAACGTCAATTTCAATTTTCGAGCCCTCTAAGGAGCTTACCGCTCCTTGAAGGACAAAGCCGGGTTTTAAAACTGTCGATGTGACCCCTTCATTGACCCGTCTAGGATTGAATGAAGCGATCCGTTTACCATCTTCAATGTAAACTCGACAGCTAAGCAACTGCTTTGCTTGAAATAAATCCTCGAGGAACGTATTCTGCCACAAAAAAATTACGTAAAATGTATTCTTGTTGGGCAAAGGAGATTATCCCATTTGACACTTCATACAACCAAATTTTAAGATAAGAATAAAAATTAATAACCCGAGAAGGAATTCGCTCTTCAATGACGGACCGACGCGACTGCATTTCCAAATTGGATTATACCGCGAGGTTGATTTTTAAAACAATCGGCATTAATAAACGAGCTATTTAATAAGTTCAACAGGTCAAGATACTGTATTTCGAAAGTCGTCCAACACAAGATCAGTACCAATTTCAATTGTACTAGAGAGAAGCATGAAAAGTGTCAACAAGGTTGAACTCACCGCTAATTCTTCCTCAGAAAGCTCAGTAAGCCTCATAGTATAAGCATCACTGATTTCGGTAATCAGGACTGCAGACTTCAATCCTCCAGGTAGAAGCACATCAACTTTATCATCGTGTATGCGTTCCACTGAGCAGAGATAATGTCCATGTGCAATGAGAACCTACGGAGAAACTTAAATGAAGAGCTGCTTCGGATCTTTTTTTTGCCCAATCCTTACTCCATCCGTTGACACAGACTTCGCTGGAAGACTTCCGATTGTACCACTTCTGTTACACGCAATCTCTGCTTTCCACGGCTCACCATGCAACTAATAAAACAATATAAAATTTATATTTGGAAGAGAAAGCAACAAAAAAAAGAACTCACCTTCCGCAGATTTTCTCGCCCACTGTTTCTGCGCGGTTTCGCGTGAGGTTCTCGCTAAAAAAAATGAAAATACATAAATATACTCTACCGAGCATTCAAGCCAAGTCTTTCCATAACGCGTTCTAACCTGAAGTTCAGAAAAACTTGCTTTACCACCAACTGTATGAATACTTCCACTCGGGGAAATGCCAGTCTGCCTTGATTTCAAATGACCAATTGCACGCTTGTCGACAGTTCCCAGCTTGGATTCAGATGAACTCGCTCCAGGTTTCTTCTTTCGCTTCAACTGAGTTAACCCGGATTGCTAGAAGTTCAAGTACAGTATGTTCAAACGATCAACCGCATTCACACACTATGTTTTATAAATCTTACAACAGCAGCAGGAGCAGCTCTGCATCGCGGAAACACATCTGGATCATCTAAACCTCCCATATTTCATTCGCTTTCGTCTGTATCAGAAGGAGAGCACAGAAAAATCTCCAATTAACCGAGATCATCTCAGAAGAAATAGGACGCCGATCATGGGAACGATAGTGAGGTTTCCACGAGGATCGCTGAAGTTCAATAGCTCCAAACCCTGCACCATGCAATGAAATCGGTATGGCGCTCACTTTTCACATAATCACCAATTTCACGTTCCCGAAGCGTAAAACTAATCTATCACTAGAGCCTGCCACACTGGATTCTCTGATCCCGTCAAAACACGGGGCAATACAGGCGACCATGCTTGCTCAAGCCTTCCCTGGGGTTCACAGAGCTACAACGTAGGACAAAGAGCTTGAACCTTCTAATTCTCGTACAGTACTGTATTGTGAAAACGTTCTCGAAGTCATTGTTCCGTGGACGCTCTGCCTGCCACACCGGCGTCCTCCACGTGGGGGACGTGGCTCCAAGCGTCCTGGAAGCACAGTCGGTGACATTGAAGTTAAGCTCATTCTGTGATGAAGTGTTGAGTGATTGAATTCACTTTCGATGACGCAATAAGTGTTGCCTGCAGTAAGCCCTTGTGCTCTTATTGAATGAAACTCGGATTCGTGCATCATGTCGATTTCATCGCAGGATCGGCGTGGAACGCTGATGAGCACCCTAGTTGGTGCTTTGTTAGGTTTGTGATTATGCACTATCTGGAAATTCGTCGGCGATCAAGGAAGTGCTGTGTTTCCTGACGTTTCGTTGTAGCTCGAACCGAGCAAACTTCGCCGGTTTCCTCGCGTAATCTTCCCGAAACTGGTGAATAAGAATTTTTATTTTCCTGGCGTTTAAAAGTGACGATGGTAATTTTTCTGGTAATTTTTTAGTTACCTGAGATGGATGCCAAGGGAATTGTAGGCAGGAAGTTGTCCTTCATGCGCATGAAACCGAACTTGACAAAAGCGAAGTTGAATAGTTCTGTTAAAAAAGGACCTCCAAATTCACCCGCATCTCCAATAATTGCACCTCGGTCTCCTGCTGTCCTGAATTCCCCAAACTCTCCAGCAATCTTACGTAATCCTCCGAAATCCCCGGCTGTCTCCAAAGAATTTCCGAAACCGGATCAGAGCTCGTTGAGTAATGCAGCCGTGGACTCGCCGAAAACGGATGTCGATGCGAAGTTGGATCAAGTTTGTCCTAGTCCAGCTGTGATAAAGCCAGTTGCTGCAGATGTGACTGAAACAGAGGAGATCCGATGTGTGGAATTTGTCGAACACGAACATCGCGAAGACGAAGGAAAATCTACGCCTCGAATCAAGGAACCGAATAAGATTAAAGCCGCCTTGCAGACATCTTCGAAAAGGTAAAATCTTTTTTCTCTCGTGAAAGAGCCTCACCCGTGCATCTTGTTGAATATTTGAGCAGGAATGCGAAGAAGCAGAAAGTGCTGCGTCAAGAAGTTATCGACGGACAAATCGGAGATTCTTCGGATTCGGAGAAGGAAGAAATTTGTGCCGATAATCACCCAACCGACAACATTATGATACTGAAGAGGCGCGCTACGAAGGGATGTCTCCGCCGAAACCCAGCCACAAGCAAGCTGATCGATTGGAAGAAGGAAGCGATGGAGAAGTTCGATCGAGATGATCCAGAGAGTGCCTTTACCATGCGGGATCTGATTTTTTTCCGAGGTCAAAGGTAAGATATTCCCTCCCTTCCGTCATATAGGCAGATATCACTTGTTCAGATTGTAACGAGAAATTTTCTTCTAAAATTTAGAGAGAAGAAATGCGAAGAGGAAGAAGAGGCTGCAGAGGACACTGAAACCCGAGAAAATATTTTTTCCGACGATCCGTTTTCATCAGTCGCGTAAGCACTTTAATTCTAAAAGTCAAAAATATAAATTATTCGTATGTGCCATTAATTTTGAGAAGGTTCCGTGATAATTCTTTTCTATTTCTTTGCAACAGTTCTAGACATGAAAACATTCCAAAATCAGAGAATGTGATCATCAAGCGAGAAGAAACTCAGGGAACAGTCAAGAGTGAACGGTGTTCAACGTTGGGTTCCAAATCGGATCCGCCCCTCTCTGATCCTGCTCCAGTTTCTGCTGACGTTTTGGAAGAAAATGAGGAAGAAGTTGATGATGACGAAGATATTGGTGCCCCGAAAGTGAAGATTGGTGCCGATGGATCCATTATCCTCGATGAAGAAAGCCTGGTTCGTTAAAGGATGAAATATTCTATGCTCCGCAGGACACTTATTTTTCCTCTACTTCGCAGGTAGTTCGCACGAAAGCGTCAAAGGAGGCCGACAAAATGAAGAATGCTCCTGTGATACACGATCCGGATTCTTTCATGTTTGTTTCTGAAGACCGTAGGAGAAGTAAGAAACAAACAATTAAAACCAAGGAATGGACCATTACTGGTATGATTGTGTTTCACGTTCTACTTGAGTTTTTCTGGTAATGGCTCAGTTTATAAACCGTTCGAGGAGCGAATTCGTAAATTTTAAATTATTTTGCGATAGATACGTCCATAATTTCTTCAATACGAATTTGTTAATATTTTCCAATGACAATTTATTCATTCGAGGCGTTATCTGTTCCACGAATGTATCCTTAGTTCTTGCTAGAAGTTAGAACTTCACCACTTTTTTGGCTCAGATACCGTTGCGTTATTTTAGTTCAAGCCCGCTTTTTTTTCCGTTTTGTTCTCCAGACCTGGCCATGTTTTATCGAGCTCTGTCGGTCGTTGGGACAGACTTCAGTATGATGGAAGCCTTGTTCACAAACCGAACCCGGAAGGAATTAAAGTCAAAGTATCGCGTTGAAAGTCGCCGAAACCCGAAACTTGTTGACCGAGCATTGACGGGAGAAACTCGTTTTGACCTCGCTCTTCTACCAGAATTCCGTAAGTGTTTCAAATACATGTTCAGTATTTCAAAAAATAGCTCAGTTAAAATTCTACCCGTTTTTCCAGAGGAAATCGATAAGGAGAAAAAGCCTGCTGGTCGAAGGAAGAGAACTCGTCGAAAGTCGGTGGATGGTTAGTTTATTTTCAAACCTCGTGTTTTTTGTGTGTTAGGATTGTTCAACTGCAGTCGATGTCTGAAACGCGATATGAATCAATTTTCGCTTCTCAGTACCGCATCAAAAATTGGGATTCGAATTAAGGCTATTTTTGCAAATTCTTATCCTGTTGTGACATCAATACAATTTTTTTTCCAGACGATGACTTATCCGTGAATCATGACAAGATACCGAACAGTAAGTGAACCTATTTTTTGTAAAATATGCTTTGATTTGTAGCCTTTTTTTTTTTTAGAAAAACAGCAGAAAAAAATAAAATTAGGTACTTTATCTGGAGTACCAGAGAAAAAAAGAAGAGGGAGGGCTAAAAAAGCTCCTCCGAATCCGGACGATAAATCTACCGCCGATCCGGATCAAGCCGAAGAACCTTCAGTTTCTCTGGAGGTTTCATTTCCGTCGCCGCGAGTGAGCTCGTCTCTTCCCGTAGCCGTCCCTGTTCCTAATCCGATTGGAACAGAAGAACCGGAAAGCCAAAATAAAACTTTTGCAGAAATGACCACTCTGGGGTCTTCTGTAGCTTGCCAGACAACCGAACCTGCTTCCATGCCTTCCACGTCGAAGGCTAAAATTGTGATCTGTTCGACAGTGTCGGACTTGTGCTCCTTGTGTCCGAAGTTTAGTGTGTTCGCGCCGGAAAATAAGAATCTTAGCGAGAGTGAGTTGCAAGAAGCGATTGCTGAAGGAATGCGCCACGTCAGCGCCGAGAGAGCCAAGAGTGCCGCCATTCCCGCGTCGAAACACGGACCGCGTTGTCCGAATGTGTTCCCTGAAGTTTCCAAGTCAGTTGTTGAGAAGAGGTGTGTGTTCTCAATGAGGTTTCATTTATTTTATGCTTGTCTCTCGAGGAAGAGTAATTGAAATAGTTTGGAAATATGCCTCATATTCATTTTTTAAATTACCCTGGACTCCAGAAATTCGAAAGATGCTCAATCTTTTTTATTATTCTTATTTTTTCAAGTTTGACTCAATAACGGCGGACCTCTCCGACTTCCTCGCTGACTTGCCAATTTTATTGTTGTTGGGTGAATTATGTTACGTTTCTTTTGGCCGGAGTTTATTTATGCCTAGTTAAATCCGTACGCAGTACTTAAAAATAAGTACAGTAATGCCAATCGAGTTCTCTGTTCTCCACTGATTTATTTTTTGTAAAGCTTGCGATTTGAGCGACACCTGTCTGAAGCTCAGGAAAGCAATATTGTCGCTAGGGCGACATTTGCCTCGTTTTATTCCCCACTGACTTCGAAATTATCTTTCCGCGAAATCATTTACAGTACTCGAATTCCAACTTCATTTTCCATGTTTTCGGGTATGAAATCTTTGATTTTAGTGAATTTCTGGTTTTTACCGTATTAAATAAATTATTTCCCCCATGCCCCTTTCTGTAAATACAGTAGTTTTCCCCGTTCGGAGATGATGAATTCTCATGCGAGTTCATTTCATTGCAGGTCTGATTCCCCGGAAACACTTCCCGGCTTGTTCTCAGTCATGCGTGCTGCGATGAGCTCAACTCTTGCCAGTTCATCTTCAGCATCCGAAAACCCCGTCATTGATGAAACCGATTCTATGATTATCGCGTCTGAACCCGCTCTTATCGCTTCCGAAGTTGTCTAAATCATTCTTCATCCTTCTCATGATGCTGTATTTCGGGAATTCGGAAGATTTTCGACTGTTACTCTAAAATCCATGTAAGACATTCCTGTTGAATGACAAAATTATGCGTGAAACCCGTGCGTAAAGGATGTGAAATTGTCCGCTTGAAAATAATTGTTTCTCTAGTCTACGCCACCTTGTGCGTTCATGGAATGGGAACGGAAGTATAATTTTATGCAATTCTGGGAAGGTTTTCTTTCCGAATTGAATGGTTTACGCTGATATAAGTTGCACGCTTTTGATTCGCGAAAAATCTTGGGTCTTTGTATTAACGACACCCCAGATTCTCATGCTCAATGCTGCATTACCGAGTGGTTCCGGAATGTCCATCTGTGAATAATGCTCATCAAGTCGTCTTACATTTTAACCGAAAAATAATTTATTTCATTTGATCTGAGGTTGAAATGGGGAAGAAAAAGAAGAAATGGGTATCTGAAAGTACTTTTGTCGCCGTTAATCGGTAGTTTTTATGCTCCCTCCAAGGTGTATTAGAAATAAAGTTAAATTCGGCCTTTCTTGACAGTTCGCTATTGTAATGCATTGTGTTATCGGAGGTACATAATACTGTATAATATATGTACTTTCTCAGTTCCAATCAGGCGAATAAAGTTCTTTTTATCAACATTTACTAGTAAATCATAGTGCGCCTTAGATTCTCTCGCAAACGTTTTCGTGGTTTGAGGAGCTGAATATGTTGCGAGTCGAAGCATTGTGTGCTTCTTATATTCGCGTAAATGGAATAGTTTCTTCCTTCATTCCATTACCCAATGCGATATTAGTATTGAACCTTGCCGCCTTGGAAATTTGTTGATGAAATTTTACGCGGTTGTTTCCGAAGCTTTAGTTTCAAAAAATGAAAGCATATTGTTTAATTTTAAATTTAGCAGCTATTCCTGCGAGAAAAATTAGATTTTGCAGGTGATCGAGAAGCTCGATTGTGTTCCAGGGTCGAATGGTTGCTAGTGATGTCCATTTCATTGCATTTCCGCGAAGGAACTTTCAGCTCTGTTTCCCTGAAATTGGGGTTGGGTCAGTGTTCTGGAGAACGCGACGGATTCGAATCGAAATACACGTGGTTCTCCAACGCTTGACGAGAAGGAAAATTCGACTTGTATTGCTTAACAAATTATAATTTTTTTTTGCTATGCGTGACAAACTATTTTGGCTGAAAGCATGCGTCGATTTCTTCTTCGTTTGTCAGAACGAAGTGGCCGATGTAGAGTGATTCAACGCGGGAAAAAGAAGAATGTCGTTGGAATCTGGAGACTTCAGCGACATCCTACCGCAAACTGATACGATTTTTGAATACGAGAAACACGTTTTGATTTGTCCCGCGGTTGAGGAACTGAAAGTGATCGAATCTTCGAACCAGTGTCCGGTTTCAAGCTGTGGAGTTGTAATCGCGAACAGGGCTGCGCTGGTGCATCACATGCGACAAAACCACAAAATCCCCCTGAAGACTGATGCCGATAAATTTCCGAAGAAGGAAAGGTTTTATGTGTGCCCTGATCCCGAATGCCTTTACTCGGTGGAAAAGGGGAAGAGATTCGATAAACGAAAAGCTGTGAAGCAGGTGAAGCCTAGTTTTTGATCAGTCATTGGGTTTGTTCAATCCGGGTCACTATTTTGTCCTAGTTCGTTTAGTGTTTTATTTAGCACAATTATCATGAACATGAGAATGTTGTAAAATTTGGTATAGCTACGTTAGAGCTACATTTGCCGGATTTTTAAGGGTGCACGTAATTTTAGTACGTCACATTGTAATATGTGATAATTTTCAGACAATTCTTGCAATTGTTATCCCTTGGTTGTAATGAACAGAAGATATCAATTTCTGAGTGTATGGCAATAAGATAAGATTTTTGCAGGTAATCTGTAGTTCAGTACTATCAAACCTTTTAGAATTCAGATTGACCGTGTCTGAAATTTAAGAAAAAAACCCATATGTATTTTATAACGAGAAGATTACTTGTTCAGCAATTGCTTAAAAAATATAATTCAACGCAAACCAGACCTTTGAGTCCTACCTGCAAGTTTTACGATAACGTCGTGTGAGAATCTCACAAAGGACATTGAGTTACGTACTGTAACAGCAACAAATGAGTTCAATAGTTTTGGAAGATAAGGTCGTCCAATTTTAAAGGGAACTTTTTCTGATGTTTTCCAGTCTTAAGAATGTTGGTGCGATTAAATATTGCTTTTCTTGTGTCCGATGCCGTCGATTACCTGAATTTCGAATTAAGTTATGGGATTTATTACAGCACTTCCTGAAGGTACACGGGGAAAAGGTTCACAGTTGCAAGACGTGTTCGAAAAAATTTGGACTCGTTCATGATTTGAACGCTCACAAATCTGAATGTGGATTCGTTTACCGATGCGGATCATGTCCTATCACCTACACGAAATTCGTCAATTTGAAGGGCCATTCGAAACTCAAGAATCATTATTTCGATCCAAACCAGGATCCAAAAGTCAGGTAGGTTGTGTGCGTTATTGGCGAGTAATTTTTAAATTAATGATTCAGAACCGGTCGAATATCATTTAACATGATAGTAAGTATGAAACTATCAGTTCGGTGAATAAAAGCATCGATTATATAGTTGAACTGGCATTCCCCAACATTTATACAGAAACCTCCAAGAAGCAAGTGCATAAAATAAGGACGGTACTTCGAAACAACCCAACGGAACTATGTAACTGCCTATTCTAACTCAATTCATCAAGAATTACCCCAACTTATTCAAATGTGACCAACTGCTAACCTAACCTGAAATAACGGAATACATTCGAGGTAATAAAGTGTGATAGATTACTCAACTTGAGCAATCCATGTCTGACCAAATTTAAAATCTTGAAAAAATGCTGTTCTGATTTTTCAGTCTTTTTTTCTGTTTTTGATGTTGATACTTGCCTTTTTGTGCGATTGCTCTTCTGAAATTTACATGTGATGAATACCTAAGGAAGATCAATTAAAATCTGTAAATTTGGATTTGGTGATTTTTTCTCAAACTCAGAAAATCTGGTAAAGCAGTGCCAGTACCGATTCTCCCCCCGGAAACAGCCAAAGTGTTCATCATGGTTCCTGTAAAACTTCGTCCCGCGGTTCTGGATTCTGCCACGTCTCCCCGACGAGATCCTGTCGGAGATGACTTCTCACAACAAGTCTGCCTCGGAAACCTCGACAAGGAACTGAAGGACTCATCTCCCACAAAACGCGACTGCGTTTCCATCGTACCGAAACCCGGGGATACGGGTCCGATCAACGCTCTTTTCGCGGCCCACGCGTTGATGGACCTTGCAGTGAGTCCGTTCCTCCGATTTCCGTCTCGTGTCGAAATCGGAGTGCAAACCGATGGCGACTCATCATCAAAACGTCGCAGTAGTCCAGCTAGGGGTTCGAGGAAGCGTTGTGCAGAGGCACAGACAAGACTGACGTCAAGGAAGAAGAAGAAAGTGAGCCACTCCGTTGCGCAGACGGTTCTTGCCGAGTTACCGAGACGATCTCGAAAAGGCCTTTCGCCGGTTCACAAGAATTTTAAGGGTTCTTTCGATTCTCCTGTGGTTGTGCCGAAATTTATCGACGCGGAAGTGAGTTGCTCTTACCCGGATTCGGATGATTTGCCTTCCGGGAATAGTAGTTTTTGGGAGAATCCCCCGGCACTCGAAGCCAATTCCGGATCAACGAATATACAAACTCAAACCGAGGATGATTTGGATTGTTTGTTGGACGAGCTGGAGCCTGCGGACTGGGAAGTGCTTTCGGCGTCGACGCAAACTTTCTTTGAAGATTGGGCGGACTTCGTGAAATCGGCATTCGAGAGCGATAGAAGTATTGATCTCAGTGTCGATTCAAATCTCGACGTTAACAATCACGAAGGAACGCAGGAGAACCCTGAAATTCATGGTTAAAAAGTGTTCTACAGTATGTGTTTTGGGCATGGCTATGGTTTGTTGAAGGTTTTTGAATTTAAATGGATTTAAATTTCGATGATTTTTGCCGCCTCATGAACATTTTCTGGGACTATATTTTTCTATTACACTGTACCACGATGCCAAGTTTCCTGGTGGGTTCATGGAACATCTTCAAGTGTCTTATCTATCTCAAACCGTCGAAACGTAAATTCGAGTGTTGTCCCACTTCCGCTTGGCCTTGGGTATTTATAGAGTGGGTACCAATGTAAAAATTAGATGATTTAGCCTATATAATTGTAAGGTTCTGGGATTTTTTTCAGATTTTTATGAAACATTTTAGATTTATTGCATGATGATAAGTGAAAACTTTCCAGTAGGCCAGACAAAAATTTAAAAAATTGGTATGTTGGTTTCAGCATGAACTTTCCTACATCTTGTGAAATTTTCCACAATTTTCAGTGATTATTTTGTTTGCGACAAGTGAACAGCTAAGTGCAATTTGAATTTTTTCAAGAGCAAGGGTTCCTTTCCTCTTTTTGTTTTCCTTTTCAAAAACATCATCCGAGGCCAAGTTTCTGCCAGGGATATGTTTCTTACTACAGTACCTCAAAATTTTATGAAACTTAGGTGTTTTTATTTTTTCATCTTCTGCCAAGGCCAGAAAGCAGGGTAAGGAGACGTCTGCCCAAGTCCTATTAGATTGTTTCCCTCTCCCCTGCTCATCATTCATTTTATTCTCATTTGTATAGGCTCTGTTCCCATTTTTCAATAGTTTTTTTAGTTCAATAGTTCAAATTGGGAATCCATCAATACTCCAGAAATTTCCACAAATTTTTGAAGTGAGATGAAACTTGAGATTTATGGCCGAGAAAATTTTTCCCAGAATGAAAAACGCACCACTAATGGAAAAACAAGCCCAATGAACCTTACCAAATGGAGGAAATAGGGGGAAATCTGGTGACGCCGGGAGAACCTGCGCAACTGGGAGGAAAGAACGGAAGAAAAATAGGGTGTGGAGCAAAACCTGCGCTACTCCAGAAATATCCACGGCCAAGCGGGTGGGACAACCCTTGTATTTGAAACTGAGGAAAGGCTAACAGACAGTTACCTAAAAATTTAACAGAAACTAGAATCGCAGACGGGGACTTGAGTTGACATGGTACACGTAAAAGAGAAAACAAACTTTTTTTAAAGTTTTGGTTTCCGTTTTTGAATCATCCGTTTTGAATGCTTTTAACCCTTTTTCAGGTTTCTTTCTTGTCCCTGAAACAAGATGTCCGGTTTAGGACAAGTGAAAGGGATATTGCTGGTTTTGTCTGGAAAGGGTGGCGTAGGGAAGTCTACGGTTAGTGCTCAGTTGGCGTGTGGTTTGCAAGCACGTGGGTTCAAGGTTGGATTGCTGGATATCGACCTTTGCGGGCCATCTATTCCACGAATGCTTAGCTTGGAAGGGAATGTCGTGCATCAATCGGACGACGGTTGGATCCCTGTGTATACTGATGACACCAAAACACTCGGCGTTATGTCGATCGGATTTCTTACAAAGTCTAGAGATGAACCTGTCATTTGGCGTGGGCCAAAAAAGACGGGTTAGTGGGTATTTTGGAGCTTTAAATTACGGTTCGCTGAATTATAACGGGCCGCAATCCGTCCCAGGGAAATTTTAAAATTTTTTGAAAAAAATAGTTAATTCATCATTATTCATGATGATTACTGACATAATCTGGTCTATGTCGTCAGATTCGTAGGATGTTTTTGCGTTGTACTCCCTTCAAAAACAGGTGGCAACGCATAAGAGAATCGTCACTGAATTTCATTTGATGTTACGAAGGTTTTGCCTCAGTCCGACAAGCTGCATTTGGTCGAAGCTAAGTTACTTTTACGGGTTCAATGGGATTATAATATTTTTGTCAAGTAAATATTTCCATAAAGCATCACTTCGGTCAAAGTTTTTATTGAGGCAGGCCTGCCTCAGATCTATGTCGGGCACTGTGCAAGAAATAATATCTTGCTCTTAGAGCGTTTTATCTGAGTTCGGAATATTTTCCTCGTGTGTGAAATTGTATATCATTTTGTTTCAATTTTTACACCGTTAGCGATGATACGTCAGTTTCTGCAAGACGTCTGCTGGGGAGAATTGGATTGGCTCGTGATCGACACTCCGCCGGGAACCTCTGACGAACACATTACGATTGCAGAAAATCTACGCGATGTTCCTAATTGCAGAGCCGTGCTCGTATCCACGTCACAAATGGTAGCTGTTAATGACGTCCGTCGGGAAATAACCTTTTGTCGAAAACTGTCTATCCCGATGGTGGGGATTATTGAAAACATGAGCGGATACGTTTGTCCAAATTGCAGTGTGAGTGAACATTCTCAAATTTTCCCTTTATCTTCAGTTTTGTATGATTTAGGGATATGTCTGGTTATCGCCGGAGTCCGAAAAAATATCTACAAATTTATTTAGAAAAGTTTAATGCCTTATTTTGTATTCGAATCTTTTCAACCTTTCATCTATCGTAGGGCATACTTCAAAAATGTTTTAAATACTGTATACAAATACGGTAGTCGAATTTATATTTGATTTTTCTTTCTGCACGGTGATCACCCCTACCGCGTCCAGAATCCAATTGAAATGCATGCCAAAAACGTGGCGAAAAAGTTTCGATTTCACAGAAGATCAATCTTTATTTTCCAGGATTGCACGAACATTTTTTCTAAAGGCGGCGGGAAAGCTTTGGCAGAAGAAGCAAAAATCCCATTCCTCGGCGACGTTCCAATCGACCCACAATTGACTATTTGTTCGGACGCTGGAAAAAATTTCATGGAAACGCATCCGGATTCCCCATTGACGAAATCATTTTTAGACATTATATCCAAAATTGTCTGAGAGGTTGAGGAACATTTTTTTTTTCGTGCATCCTGTTTCGTAAAAAAAGAGTGATGAAATGTGGTGCTCATTCCAATGATTTTTTTTCCTTTTTTTTTGCGAAGAATCAATTTACTGTACTTGAAATGTTTGGAATTCTGTACTGAATTTTTCGCAGGGGAATGAAGTGATGATTTTTTGAGCAGGATGAGTTCAGCAAGAGTGCCAGGAATCGTGCTTAAGCGGCTGAAGCTCAGTGTTGCTTACAGTTTCAACCAATCTTGCATTGTTTCCGTGAATTTTTGCAACAAAAATAGTGGGAAAGCCATCCTGCCAAAATATTTCTCAACAAGGTGTGTGAATTAAAAAGCATAATCTATAAAAATGCTGCTGAAACAATGAAGCGTTCCCAAAAGAGCAGTACATGCATTAATACTGTATGAAATTTTGGGTTTGAAAAGAAAGAAATTTGTCCGAGCACAGCACAGCAGCAAAAATGCATCAAGTATTGGTCCTTTGATGCGATAAAAAGTATGCACTTCGATCGATTAAATTAACTTATTTTTATTAAAATTTAAATTCAGATTAATCTAACGCATCTGATTCATTTTTGGACAATGAGAAACTCGTATGATTGATGTTCGAGAAATAATGATTCTGGAATATTTTGCGTGCCTTTTGCAATTTTCAACTACTGTAACGCTGTTCTGGACGTGAGCTTTATAGAGACACAACCCGAGGCCTTCTCTCCGTTATAAATACTTGGTTAATACTTGGAAGATTCTCCCTTGCAGTTCTTTCCGGGCAACGGAATCGAGAAATATCTTGAAATTGGCAAAGAAGGAGGAGGAAGTATTCGGGACTTTATCTCGTGCCCAAAGTGAAAAAGTACCCGACGAAGAAAAACCCGTGTCTCCCGCGGATAATTTTGCCAGCACAGTTTTGGCCGAGCTTGAAGGCGATGAAGAAGACAAAGCTGGAAGACCTCCCGCCGCGAACCCGGAAACTCGACTACCCTTATCCCATTACATTGTGCAAATCAAGAGTTATTTGAAGAAGAATATGGTGAGGCCTTTCGTCGTATCCTGAAATTCCATCAGATATGGTAATTTAATTTATTTTTTTCCGGGGGAATTCTAGCTGAAGGAAGCGTTGGATGTATTGGAAGTGAAGATGTTGCAGCGGGATGGAAGAAAGCCTGACGAATACGTTTATACGCTGCTTATCCATGCGTGTGGCAAACGTGGGTACACGAAAAAGGCCTTCGAATTATTCAATCAGGTCAGCGAATTCAATGCATAAATCTTTTTTTATTTTGCATAAATTTAACTGGTTTGTGAAATGTAGGTTTTAAGGGCGGGCTCCAGTTATGCAGTCTGCCGGTTAATTCAGTTTTGTTTGCGTGGACCAATTTCACTTTGGTTGTTGACCAATTTCACTGAATTTTGGAAATGATTTTTTTTTTACTGAAATATATGCTTTGTGTTGGATTGGAAAAGTTCACTTTCTTCGTCAATAAACCCAGAGATTATAGATTTGCAACAGTTAAAGGAAATGTCCACTGTTTCATCACCCACTGAACCACTTTCTTCCGTGTTTCGCCTCGCTGAACCCGGGACAAATAATTCAAATTTGCTGAAATCTTAGCAATAACTATGCCTGATGCGATCAAATTTATTTTTATTTTTTTTAAGATGAAATCCCGCGGGTTGAAGCCGGGTCCTTCGCTCTACACGGCTTTATTCAACGCTTGCGCCAATTCTCCTTGGAAAGAAGACGGACTTGAACGAGCTCATCGTTTGTACGACCTCATGCAGGAACGGGGCTACACTTTGAACGTGACACAGTACGAATGTGCCATCAAAGGTGATCTGAAACATTGAAAAAACGTTCTGAGTTGGAAATACACAATACTGTAATTTTATTTTGAGTAGCTTTCGGGAGATGTGGGGAATTGGACACTGCGTTGAAGCTTGTGGACGCGATGCTGAAGGAAGGGCATTATCTGACGATTTCCGCTGTAAACGCTTTGTTGCACGGGTGTATCGATGACAAAACGTCAGGATTCAGATATGCACTCCTGGTAAGTGCATCTAAACAGTTGAATGCGATCAATTCTAATTTTCTGATGATAATCTGGAAATTTGGCACTTGAATTTTGTGCCCCTGAACATTTTTGATCCTCATTTCAAGTTTCAAAACCTTGAGCTCACATGAGAATGCTTCTATGGATTGATTGTTCCTGGTGACGTAAAGAATTAGCTCTGATCAGTCAATTCCAGAAGTTGAATTTGTATTTCGGGAGCATTTCTGAAAATTTAGGTTCGTCGTTTGACTAGTCAAGAACGAATCCTATTCAGAATAACTTCGAAAACACTCGACACGTTTCGATTTTTATACTGTTTAATTTGTTTATTAAGTAATCCATGGAGACACTGGTGAATTAATAATTTCTTGGTCAGTTGAAGGAAATAAAACCTCTAATTAAAAACGAGGGTTGTCCCAGTTCGGCGCGGCCTCTGAATTAATATTTTTTGAGTAGGCGTGATTGTAAAAAATCATTTCGTGGAATAGTCCATGATGTTCTAAGGTTCTGGCATTTTGTTCAGATAAAAAAATCAACCTTACTGCATGATGTGTGAAATTTTCCTGTAACAGCCAGAGTTCTCCACCCACGTCACAGGGGGCTAAAAATATTTCAGGCCAGCTAAAAAGGAAAGTTCATCGTTGTTTCAAACATCTTAAATACAGAAAAGATCATGTTTAAAAACAATAAAAAACTAACAATTGATGTGGGGAGTTTATTGAATGTGATTTTTGCAGTTTTATTAAATAAATCGTGGCGTATTTATGGTTATTTCATCTATTCCGAATGAAAAGGTGTGGAGAAAAATGCGCGGAAAACAAGTTTCACCGAATCTCCAAACTTACAACTTGTTGCTTCGCGCAGTCCGCGATTGCAACGCAGGCGACAGTGACAACTGTGGACAAGAACTTCTCGAATTCCTGATGAGTCGAGAAGCCCCGAGTCGACGTCAGTACGATAAGCTGGTTCATGGCCAGCGACAAGCATTGGCCCAACCGAGGGCCATGTTCAGACTGAATCCCGGCGAAAGTGACCCTGTTTCTTCTGAGGATCAATTGCAGCAGCATTCTGAGGCCTTGATGCAGGCCTTGTCGTTGGAAACCTGTCCTGTCCCCTTGGATCTTCTAGGGAAAAATCTGTTCTCCTTGCAATCGATGCACGATGTTATTGGCATCACTCGATTGGATAAACCTGAAGATCGGTTTGTTCTGTTCTTCACGAAAACTTGTCCGAGATGTTCTCATGAAAACTTAATTTTCTAATACTGTGCTTGACTTACAGATTGATGCTGCTAGGGGGAATGCCGAGGATTCTCCTTCAAATTAGAGCGGATGGTTTGACTCCAGATATCAAGACGTTTAGTCAGCTTTTGAGTAGCTTGCCGAGGAAGGATTCAAGCGAAATGGTATGAAAGGTTTCCTCACAATCATAGAGTACTTCAAATATAGATACTTTCTTGCATTCTTCGTTATAGTTGCTGCTGGAGCTCCTGAAGATTCACAACGTTCAACCGGATACCGATTTTTTCAATCAGCTTATCAAGCGTCAATGCTTGCGTGGTTTTTGGTCAGGTGCACGCGTAAGTAGCTTGACAAAAGAATGCGCCAGATTGTTCAGAAGTTTCTTAGGAATTTTGAAAATCAGTTGTTTTGGTACCATACAAAATTCAGGAAATTCTGAATCGCTGTGGGATAAATAACGAGAACTGAAGAACGTTTCACCTCATTACCGTGCTTTTTTCTTTATTGACACCCATGATCACCAACGGAAAACTTGCGAACCGTCGTATTTATTATTATTATCACCGAGAATTCGGAAAAAATAAACATTTTTCCTTGAAGAGTTGTCAGGTCTTAGACCTTGTCACTTGAAAATTGTTTCTCGTAACAAAAAACTGGTTAACTGGTACCTTTTAAAATCTGTCGATACACCATAATTCAAGGAATTTTTTGATCATGTTTTACAGAATTCGCTGAGAATTATGTCAGCGGAAGAAGGCTGTTACCCGGATATTGTAACTTTCGGAGTCTTGGCTTTGGGATGCTCCTCACTGGAGAAACAGGAAGAACTCATGGAAGACATGAAGGACATGGGTTTTAGGTTCGTATACCGTACCTCCTTCATAGCCGAGACATTTTTTTTTTTTTTTACAATTTTTTGGCTGCGCAGCTTGAATGTGGAAATCCTGGGAGCATTCTTGCGTGAAGCTGGCCGTTACAAAGACTATTCTCGAGCCATTGGATTAATGACCATCATGGACGATGAGAAGCTGACCCCGAATCCTCACGTGTTGACGATGTTCGAAACGCTGAGGAAACATGCTTTGAACGATCGCCTTCTCGGGGAAAGTCACGTGTATAACGTGAGTCGCTTTTTTCAGAGTTTGTGGATCAAGAAAATTTTCTTGACACAGCATTAGACGAATATGTATTTGGTTTATTAAAAATTTAAAAAAAACGAATAAACTCCCACAAGTGCATTATCGTTTTTCGTCTGTTCGCTGAGAAGGTTTTAAATTAGTTTTCGTGAAACAAGGAAAATAAGTTATCAAAATTTATTTTTAAAATTTTCAACGGAACTCGGTCAAGTGTGATGTGTCATTTCATCAGTATTCGTGTATGCAAAGAAAGAACTCGGGGTGTCTCGGTTGAGAATTAGAGTCCAATTCTGACTGCCGACTATATCTAACCAAACCCAAAGAAAAGCATTAATTCTTTAAAACAGACTGAGTATGAAATTGATGTCGCTTGGCTTTGTGATTGTTTGCTGCCAACGTTTTGTATAGCTTACATTTAATTCAGGTATTATTTTTAGGTTTTCCGCTGCGTGAACGCATTCAAAATGTATAGAGTATTGATATATGTTTTCATTTCTGCCTAACAAATTAAGAAACATATTGATATAACCAATTACAGGCGGGTAACAAGTGCGCGGACCTCTCGAAAGAAGATGAACGTCGGAAAAACGGAGCAATTCAATTTCTGAGGAGCTACAAAAAATTCCTGAAAACTCACGCGATTGAGGAAGACCAACATCCTTGGAAGCAATTTGAAATTGGAAATCCTCCTAGGACGGAAGTTGTTTGAATTCGATTTTTCTTTTCGTTGTTCCCTGCGCTGTGGAAAATTTTATCTTGGTGGTTCAACATAAAGTCAAGATTTTTCAGGAACGTTGCGTATTCTTCTTTATATTCTCGTGAAGCATGTACCCCTCGGAAATCGGGGTGCGTGATGCGGATTCGCATGCGGAAAGGGACACTTCTGAGTCAAGGACTGGAGAAAATAATTTCACTCCTAATATAGAACGGTGCATGTCTCCAGAACATGGGATTCAAAGTCATGGGCCTTAATCTCAGCTGAAACAAAAATTGAAGATAGCCGTAACTCGTCACTTACAATTTTGCATTGCTAGTTTCGCCAGTTTAAAGCAATTATAGACCCTTCCCGGATTTTTGGAGGGGAAAAAGTTAGAAATTCGGGGAAGAAAATGTTGACGTAACACATATATGAAATATACAGCAAATTGAAATCGCAAATTAATTAATTATTTATCTACTTCAGCGTACAAATGAGTCGGCGATCATCTTGGTATTCCGACTTTCTGCTTTGTCTGTCCAGCAACCGAATTCCTGGAAAAATTAGTCAAACTGCTGAGAGATTACAAAGCCTCTAATTTAAAAATCGTCCACGAACATATTTTCGATGGAAACATACATCGCAAGTGCTGTACAGGTAAAGTGCCGCATTTTTCTGATGTAAAAAATTGAAAATTTCTGTGGAAGGGATCTCATTGTAAATTCAGCTGCCGAAAATGATGGCTTTGACCTTTGAGAACCCTCCAAGAATTTGTCACGAAGTCTTCATACGAATTCCCATATAAAATATTTGAAGTTGTATCGCCAAAAAATCGAAGAAGCATAATTTTTGAACATTTATTTTGGGTTAAGAGCGTATAATAATTTGATATCTGCCAAAATGTACCCGATATTTTTGGGTACTGGATATAAATTATGAAATTTAAGATTAAACTACTGTACTATAATTTTGTCTGTCCTCCTGCAATGCGTACATTTTGGTAAATTTAGGAACTCCTCATTTGTCCGAACAACCAAATTCCATGCCTCAAGCACAGTATTTGCCAATCTTCGAAAAATATTTTAAATGCATCCCAAGTTTTTCGATTTTCCGCGTTTTATTCACGATTTTGATGCTGAGGGATGACACAATTTTCCTCTGACGTCATTGAACATCAATAAGGCAAGATGAAACCCAGCATATATGAGATTGAGGCAAGGGATCCATTTCGAGAAGTCACTCCTGCTTTTTCCCTGGTTTGATCTCCGGTCGAGCGAATAAAACGGGAAATAGTTTCGCATCGTTGCGGGTTTCTCATATTGAATGCGCCCAATTTTTATGCTGTCCCGTATCTGGAATATGGAAATGAGTTGAAACCATGAGATAACTTCGGTCGTCCTCTGGGATTGAAGAGAAATCTTCCCAGAGGGAAAATCCACGCAAACGGTGTACGTGGGATGGGGGACTTGCCCCTATATCGGTGTCTACACAATTTGTATTCATTTTTTCTGCAGAAAAAGGAATTAGTAAGATTAAAGACTGTTATCCGGGGATTTTCCATGTTTTTTTCACCTGGGGTGACAGCATATTTAGAAGGTGCAGCATTTGGATGACATGATAAATAGATGGATTTTAGAAAAGATTTAGGAGTGGATCCTCAAAAACAAATCCGCATAAAATATGCTGGTGCAGTGAAGTCCAAGATTTTTTCATCTCCATTGTTCATTACAAGGCAAATTCAGCAGGCCAAAACAAATTTATGGCATTTGACACAATGAAGGGTGTAAATCGTGCAATTCAGAAAATTATGGACATAAAATATGCTTCCATTTTTTAGAAGGAAATATTCAAAAATGCAAGGGATGGAACAATTCATCCTGGGAACAATCACGGTTTCTCAAATAAACAAATATGTCTCTCAAAAGATTATGGTATGTCTGGATGATGCTAAATGTTTCTAGTTTTGTTCATTCACAATGATTTCTGAGCCTACAAAAATGTAAAAAATGCACCATGATATAAGGCTGAATAAATACTGTTATCTGATCTTGAGTAAATGATGAATAAAATATATAAAGTTCTCCAGACATTCTTCAAGTCTTTGCTCTTGAATACTTACCATTGTAAAAAAATCTTAGCCTTGATCTGACAATTTCAATAACAAGTAGATTATGTTCCTTATTGCTGGGTTATTTAAATGAAGACACCTTGAAAATTCTTATAAAGAACAGAAGCGTTTATTGTTATATTCAACAAGTATGGGCAGCATCAAATAATGTAAGATCAACTAACAAGCATCAGAGATACAATGAGCAAGAGAAGAGAGAGAGAGAGAGGCAGATGCCTTTATAGACTTTGCAGTCCAATATTGGGCAAGACTTAGTCAGACCTGGATCTGACCTTATTCTAGGTTAAGTTGCTTAATTTTATGGTGTGTGACCCAGCACAGTGGCATGTCATTGTGAACTTGAAAGTATAAAACTGCCTTGTGTGTTGTCTGCTAGCAAGAAGGGAATGACAGATGGTATTTGATAAAAAAGACACAAATTCTTGTCTAGAAAGGTTTGCTATGTGATTCACTTTTTGTGAACAGATTAAAATAATGCGAAATTATCATAAAAGGAATCTCTCATAATGCAGGAATAAATTTCAGGAAATATTTACTAATGTATTTTCCATGTGTATTATTTGAGTGTGAAAGTCTATTGCCTTAAACTGAACTTAATCAGTACATGTGTAAAAAAAAAAAAAAAAGGAGTGCATGTCAATTCTGTAGGCCTGTTAATTCAGCTTCTGAGTTTCAGCAACAACAACAACAACAACAAAATGAAAATTATGAGCGGTCCCCTAAATTCATTCTGACTGTGAATCAACTCCCGTCCGATTCTGCGTGCATATTTTTGATGGCAAAACCTTGTCCAGGATCCCTATATACTGCATGCATATACACAGCTTTTTTTATTTTTCGTTCCCCCCTATGCAAGACCACATCTTTTTCTCTTGCGGGGGGGGGGGGGGGGTCACGGTTGGTCAGTCGCTGATTGCCCTGTTAGTTCTCCTCTCTGTAACCCCCCTTTTTTTAACTGACGTGCCCCCAAGAGATCTTTTCCTTTCCCCCGGGAGAAACGAGGGGTTTGTGGTTGTGATTTGTGGCGCCTGAAGGGGTTTAATTTCCCACATTTCGTGCTTGGTAAAGCTCCAGTGCTGGATATACTGAAATTGTGATACGAACCTTGCTGCTGGGTTCTCATTCTGAATCGCAAGCGGGTTAATTTCGTAGCGCATTTCGCAGTGGAAATAATAAAAATGAATTGCAAGGGTTAATTTCGCGGCGGAACTAATAAAAATAAATTGGATCATAAAAGAGCAAGCACTGTTGCAGAACCAACGTTTGCAAAAATGCGAGTCGATCTCGTATATGTACGAAATTCGCATTTTTTTTTTTTAAATGGGTACTTGCGTTGGTATTAATCAAATTTCAATCAATATTCTGTGGGAACTATTGTCTGCTTACAATCTCGTTCGAGTTATCCTTATTTCCAGTCACTCATGGAGAATAAGCAAGTGATGATTTAGTTACAGTATTTAACCCTAAACTGACGAACGGGTAGGAAATGTACAATATTCATCATCAACAACAACAAAAAGGAATAAAAAAAAAAAACTCATACGAGGGTTAGCAAGGTCCCCATTTTAAAATGGGAAGAAACTGCGAATTTTATGGAAAACACGGCATTTCCGTAAAATCGTGACGATACTATCCCTTGTGCTCAGCTTTCTGGAATTCAGAAATTGTGAAGACAAAAAGAGGCAGAACCATGCCCCCTTTTTTTTGGAGCATAATACAGTAGCTTCAAGCATTTTTGGCTGATAAAGTGAGGCACTTTCTTCGACGTGCAATGAACAAGTTTTGTTTTACAGATCTTTTCTATGGCTGGGACCCAAATATATAATATTGTAAAACAATTATTGGAACAAAGTTGGTTCCGTATGTGTGATGCACCATCGCGACATTATTGCTGTGCCTCCAAAAAACGACCCCCCCCCCCCTCACTTTACCCTTCCCATGGGTACCAATACTACCAACCCAACCCCCTCCTCAAGAAAAGGGGGGAGGAGAGGATACAACAAAAATAAATACAAAGGGGGAGGGTTATGAGGCTGCTTGGGTGTGGGGGTAGTAGGTTCCTTCGCTCCATCAGCCAAGAAGCGGGTTGCTGTCCAAACTTCATTACGGGTCCCTGGCGACTCGTTTCGCCCGTCTTGGGCCACTGTTGGCATCACTCACTGGGAATGTGACTTTTATGCGACCCCCGGGCCGGATATTGATGACGAGGCCCATTTTGCTTCCTTCCTGTTTGGCCCGTGTTTTTTTTTTCGTATTGGACAGTTGAGCGACACCCAACTGAACGCCAGCGACAACTGAACTTAAGTCTCTGACAAGATTGAAGATTATTGGTTTTTGTTCCACATTTGTCCGGGGAATTTTAAATACGGTACTGTACATTATTATTCTCCTTAGATACATTGGTGTGATGAAATGTCAAGAAATTCATCACAACACGTTTGTTTTATTTTAAATATGATTTTAAAGTTTTTGGAGAGGGGAATAAATTTTGCAAACAATCTCTGCCATAAAAACTCAAAATTTTGACAGATCTAAAAAAGAAACCCGCTTTTATTTCTGCATGGTCCTTTTATGTCACTGCATTATCACTGGAGTGGGGAGCTATTCTTTGTGTAACCCCACAAGTGGTGCACATTGGTCATAACTGGTGTACATGTGCTATTCTGGGGTTACAAGCACGCACCTCTGTAGTTGAAATTTGGCTACCATTCCAGGGCTACATTTGCTGCACAAATGTGACATAACAGGAGTATCACACAAATGCACCTACTGTAACCTTGGTGTAACTTATTTGTTTACAAATGTGACTCTGATTAATCCTGGTGTGAACACACAATTGGTGCACATTAGGGATATAACATATTTACTTGAGTACCACGCGCACCTTTTTTCCCAAATTTCAGAGGAAAAAAAGGGGTGCCCGTCATAAGCGGGTACAAAATTTTCAAGAAGTTCTAAAAAGTTATT